GTTTTGACAAACATTCTAAATTCACTAATCAAAAAACGTTGGAATGTGACTTTTAGTTTGAAAACAGGTACGTCTATAACGTAAAACATAATACATGAACATAAACATAATGTTTTTATATCATATCTTGTCGTTCTTAAAGCTGTGCATATCAGAAAATAATTTATGACGAGCGCACGAAGTATTCGCCTAAGAGCATTAAACTAAAAATGTGACAAGTAAATCATTAACGCCATGTGTCCCGTAGTGACGACTAGTGAGTCGGACCTTTGATGTCTTTTGTTCTACAGATTTAAAAACGTTTTACGACGACTACTTACTTCGTAAAAGCGCACTCGGCGAAAGGGAGGGGTAACATAAAAAAATAGAGCGTTCAATTAAAGAGATAGTGACAATGCTGCCAGAAATTCCGACCCGGGACCGCTCTTTTGATATACGATAGCGTTGTTCGGGGGCAGCTCTCGTTGTGGCGGCAAAAAGCAAAGTGACACTTGAAAAAGGCGCGAACTAACATAAACAAGGGTTCTTTTTTCTAGACAAAGGCCGCGGTGTTAATCGGACGGTGCTTTGCAACGCGTTATAAGTGCTGAAATAGTTATGAATGTTCATTCAACATTTTAGTTATGATTTTGTTGTAGTTATGAGTACGCTTAGCCAGTAAGTTGTACGTATATTTTAAATTTTTAATTACGATGATTCCATTGTTTTTGATCTGAAAATTAGCTACTGCTATTTCATTGTTGCAAGATTATTACTATCGTCAGTAATGATGACTGTCTATATTTTTTAATAAAATTATTTTATAGATTCACGTTAAATTTCTCACTAAAATCATATAAAGTGTATTAATAAGAAACCTTTGAAATATAAGTATACTAATGTACAAGTAACAACAATAACGTGACTATTAACAACATAAAATAATGACATTATATAATTATAGGACTAATAACAAAAAATGTTTTTAATGACAACGGTACATATTTGTGATGTCTTTGTAATATGCATATGAACATAATTGCGTAGAATGATAATTCTATCATGATAAATCATTATTATTCAGCATATTGTGGTACTAAAGAATCTCGCAGCTGTTGCTGCGGCTGGAATCGTCAGGCTCGTCCGGGGAAGTAACTAGTTTCTCAGAAAAACCAACGCGAAAAGGACGTCGTCTGGTGAGTGAGGTAACCTGGGCCCAATCTTTGAATAGTTTGTGTCAAAAGTAACTTCAATGCACGTGGGCGGCAGTAATTACTAAACATTTGACGAACTGACTGTTCGCTTCCCAAAAAAAAACTCAAATATGATAAACACAAGTCTATCATAAATAAGTAGGGGGAGTTCCCCGAGTACAAGACACTTAAGGTTTTTTATAAACAGCAAATTGAATAATTATGTTTTATTTCAATACTTAACATTTCCGTTTAAACAATGTTATATATAACATTAAAATAAATCAACAAAGATGAACATTGTACATCATTGAAGTTAGGCTCGAGTACCGGACATGTATAAATTCGAACCCTTAACGCAGAGAACCTGGTAATTTATGGGTTAACAAAAATTTTAAGTTAATCAATAATCTTACTTTAATGCTGTAAACGCCCGAGCCATATAAACATTATAAAACTCTTAATAAATCAACAGCTGGGGCAAAAGCTTTTCGTACTTTTTTCAAAAAAAAAATATTTCTTAAGTGCTTCTTCTTAAGAGATTAGCACTGTAAAAATTTTAATTTCTATATCAATTGTATCAAATAAAGCATAGGTATTTATAATATATCACTATCCAACAGGTTAGACACCTTCCCGTTTCCATGAAATGGGGTCGAGAAAACATTGAACTGAACAGCTTCTATTTCACTTTGATATCTTGTTTAAACATTAATTTACAGACTTTTAGCCCGGATGTATCACAGTAGTTAAATTCAATCAAGAGCTGCATTTAAATTAGAAATAATTAATAGCAAATATTAATGAATTAGATCGTAATGGCGGAGTTTAAATTAAATGAATATTTCAAAGCTTCACCCTGACATTTCCTAATAATCTCGCTAGTAATAACCTGCTGTCATTATGAATTTATCGACATCAACATAACTCATATTATTAAGCGCTGTCAAATTAATATTATAAAGCAACAACTTACTGATGGGCAGATATTAAAATAAATATTAGATTAATATAAACCGGCAACTAATCGAAAATTATGACGAAGCGTTGTAATGTGACACTGTTTGCATAGATTTGATTTAATTATAAACTCTTATTCTGATTTTATTACGAAAAATACTAGTAAATATATTTAGGATGCGGTCAGATTTCGTGTTTTTGATTACCTACCAAACACGTTAAAATTTATTTAAATTTTTTAAATAAAAAAAATATTTGAATAACATTTTATTACTTATCTAAATAATTTAGTAATTTTTTTATTATTACATTATTTTTGCGGTGGCCGTCTAGAAGATTCTTTTACCCTATCAATTTTTACGATTTATTACAATTATCTACTTATTAAGCCGAATGAAGAAATTAGGGCAAGAAGAAATGTATGAAAATATAAATACAACGTTACAAATTTTTATATCACCATGAAAATCGCTTCATTTTAATCAAAATTGACTACGAAAACCTTGGTTTAATAGCCTTATTTAAAAATATATTCTATTCGATTAAATAAATTAAATCACCAACTATAAGGTTCGCTAACTAACATACATTAAATAAAAGGTTTAATCGTACATTCAGAAGGTAATAAAATGAAATATTAATTTATATTCGAAATAACATCACAATAGAAAATACAAAACAAAATATTTGGGTACTTCATACATATGTGTTATATGTATGAAGTACCCAAAAATGTTATATGTATAAAGGACCACAAAAAAAATAAATAAAAAAAAAAAACAAGTAAAAGCGCGCTAAATTCCGTTTCAATTGAAGTGACGTAACGCATCTGTCATCGTGACAGCGCGGGAGTTGATTAAATGGCGCGGGCGCGTTCACAGGCGTTGATAACGAGCTAAATTAATTCGAACACGTGTAAACATTTTGTTAGATAAAACCACTGGCCGTATCGCGAGGGGTCTGTGCGGGCGGCATCTGTTATTCGGTTACGGTGATTCGCCTTTATGGGCGTAATTTAAAAACAAACATTGTGATTTGGCGTAAGTGAAATGTTCGTTAATTGGTTTTATCGCTTTTTCGGCTGCTACGAATCGCTCTGCCTTGTAATTCAATTCACAGATTATAACGGGTTTATCAAGAGCCTATTATATTGTTTGTTTAAAATGTTTTTGATATCTTAGTAACATGATCAATAACAATTTTATCCATTGTTATTTAAAATTTTATTTATTGTTAATCATAACGTACTTTTGGTGAATTGTGGAAGTTAATGGTGGAATTGCTCACTATCACGAACACCAAACATTTATAAAACTCATTAATAATTATTAACTGTGCGAACGATGACAAAGTAAATATTGCTAAAACAGAGTGTAATAAACACATCTATGCTTATATAAATATCTTAAAGCTTAATAGTGACATTTCATTGTCATCAATGAAACCTCATTACGAAACGGTGGTAGATTTAAAAAAAATATGACTATTGATAAATGAAATGTAAGTTTCTTATGTCGATGAATAAATGATTTTGATTTTGATTTTGAATGCAATTGTTATAGACTGTTTGAAATTATATTACATAAAAACTTAAAACGAGTTCCAAATTTTAAAAAACAGCTGTTTTGATCGAAACCGTCTGATAGATAAGGATAATAATCTTACAAAATCACAGGGTATTCAGATCCAATTTATCAACACTGGACATTTAGCGAAGCTCTGCCTTAATTTCGGCCAAGAGGACGTTTAAATCTCAACAAACAATAAACAAAATCTATCTCAATGGCGTTAAGCCATCGCTTGATCCGTTCCCAATTGAGAAATGAAGACATTTGGAGCGTCTTTAAAACGCTTCCCCGTAAACAAACTGAGAGGGTCGTTTAATGGATTTTTTATTCCCCCCTCTGTTGTGTTAAACCGACATTGTTTTTGTTTTAGTCGAGTCACGACGCAAACTGAATAGTAAACGTTCGCTTTGGATGCGATTTGAGTAATGGTCTTTTTATAGGTCGCTAGATGCGAACTTCTAAAATACTATAGGATTCGTTTTTAAATGGCACATGTTTAAGAAGTAACCATACGGATGATATAAATATTTTCTGTTACATTTCTTAATGCTTCTTAGGAATTTTTTGATTATAAATACTGTATGTACAGTTTTAAATTAAATATCGTTGTGACATCGATTTAGAAAACTGGTTGGCGGTAACAACACCTACGAACCAGAGGGGTGGACAGAAATTTCGAATCATTTTCCAAGATAACGTAACTCCAGATTCCTCCGCCTCCATCTAAAAAAGAAACCAATTAACGGTTCTTAACGTTACGGCACGTCGTTCTCTCTCAGTATGTCGGCAATTATAATGCACAAGCGTCCCGCCCCAGCTTCGCACGAGTAGCACTATTTATCCAAAACAAAATCTGTTGACCCGATCGCTACTAATAGAACCACCCGCTGACCTAATCATAAGACTGCCTGAAATTACACGAAAATCGGTCCAGGCGTTTCGGAGTCCACACATACATTACATATTACACAACATAGATTAGTATTTATCGTTTAGACATTCAATACACTATTACACTAACATTGATTGTTGTTATATGATATATCATCATCAAGCATCGTAATGATCTACTCTATAAATACAAATCCATAGATTAGATCTCACATTATTTTTTACTACTTCTCATTTGGCTCTTTCGCACCTCCTTATTTTCTCTAATTTGCCGTCGGTCGACTGATAGTGAACACCTAATGGTGTTGAGTCCGCCGTTGTAAGTTATTGCGCAAAACAGATAACTAAAAATAAATGCGTAGATCCGTACGATTGTTGTTATGTTTCTGAACGCTCCGTACCCTTGCAGGTTGTCGGGCGAGGCCAACGCCAGCCCGTGCGAGTCAGAGTCCACTTCCGATTCGCCGCCGTCCCTGCTGCAGGATGCGACGTTGCCAGCTCTCCTAGTCTCCGGCGCGTCCACACTGTTCCAGCCCGCGACCAGCGCCGGCGCCGCTCTGGGCCTCGCCGACGGGCTAAGCCTGCCACAGGAGGACTGCAGCCTGGCGAATGGTTGCACGAGCGCCCTAAGCGGTCTCGCCTTGCCGCTCACCTCGTCCGGCGGGCTCTGCTCCACAACGTCCTCGTCCGTCGCCTGGTTGATGAATGACGATAGCACGGGTGAGTGCTCGGCTATTGCGTTAATTTAACAGGGGTAGAGTAGCTTAGTGGTTAAAGCGTCAGTCCGCGAACGCCGAAGACGTGGGTTCGATTCCCACAGCGGCGACGATCTTTTCGTACATATGTTCACAATGCAATGTGTACAATCTTAAGTGCAGAGATTAGCACTATAAACAAATTTCTAAAAAGCAATGGCGACATCTCTCGTTCGAATTATCGTTGTAAAACGATATTCGAAATTGTTTGTATGCGGGAAAGGATATATAACAATGGATGCGCAAACCATTGCTTCAAATGCTAAAAAACAATTTAGATAAAAGACGTTAAGATTTTCGTCGCTGTTGCAATCAGCTGTTCAGCTTAGTGGTTAAAGCGTCAGGCCGCGAATGCCGAAGACGTGGGTTCGATTCCCACAGCGGCGACATTCTTTTCGTGCTTTTTCTACACATTTTAATAAGTAGTAGAGTATTATTGTGTTAACCACAAGATTAATAAGTAAATCCGGTAGTACATTAACATTTATCCTAAGTCTTGAGGCAAACTATGCTCTACCACATACTCTTTGGTAGCTTTGTTGATTAATGAAGATAGCGAGGGTAGGGGATAGAGAGGGTATAGGGACGCACGACATATTTATTTATTTTAAGTATATATAATATCACTAGCTTTTCGCCCGCCGCTTCGCTCGCGTTGAAGCTTTAACAACACTTTTTTCCGATTAAAAAATGTTTTTCTCAGGCTCTAGACTATCTGTGTACCAAATTTCATTTAAGTCGGTTCAGTAGTTTTAGAGTGAAAGCGAGACAGACAGACAGAGTTACTTTCGCAATTATAATATTAGTACGGATGTTCCTTGGCGTTCAGGGGTTGGTGTTAAGTTTTTCGTAAAGAGATGAATTTGGTTAGCATTATATTTTCATCGCATCAACCGCATAATCATTGGCTCATGGTTTTTATGAATAGGTCTGTATTGTGCCAAAAACAAAAGACATAATTGAAACAAATAATAACGCATTTAATAAAAAGTTATATGATAATATGCTACTCATTTTCTGTAGTACGGTATTACAACCACATAAAAGTAGAAATATACTTAAATTTTACCTTCGAAACTCACTCATCTAACAATTGTTTATAAAAGTTTAAGAACATTAATTGAACATTTATTAATAGTTTGGAATTTATAACATGCCATCTCGTTAACACAAAAACATGTCGGCATTTGGAATACCCAATGAAGTTCGTAAAATCGGCCTTAATGGGTATTTTAATACAAAAACCATGTGTTTATGGTTGCCATATAACCGATGTTTAGCTTAATGTATGCAGAATATGCAAATATCCACAATACCAATCTAATAAAAAGAAAAAATTTATTGATCTCCATTCACGTGTTTTATTTAATCTGTTTATTTAACATGTAGAGGGCAACGTCATTTTTTTTTTAAATTGAAAGGTTGTCGTGTAGTTTTGAATATTTATTGTATCTTTACTTAAATAAGATGTAAGAATTAACACATTTAGGCAAAAAATAAAAGGAAATGTCATATTTAAAACAAAATATCTATCTACACGTTAATATATTATCCACCATCGATTTAAAACTTGGATTTTTGACTTGACAATTTAGAAACGTAAAAATCTCACACAAAAATTGATTTTATTCTAAACAATAGATTATAATAGATCTTATTATTAGATCAATAAAAATTGCAAATTCATTCTTCTAAACTATTATACACTTTCTTATCATCATATCGTACCGTTTTTATGAAGTGTCTATTGCAAAAGTTTTTAAATATTACAGTAACTATAAACATAGAACATAATTATTTATAACCATACTACATCTAAAGCTCACACCGCATGTCTTGTAAAGCTATAACCTTTATAATTTATATCTACCAGGAATTCATGACCGGATAATATTACAACTTCTCTTCACCACGTATCGTAGTGCGTACATATTTGAGGCATCAAATACCAGGATACCATCAACTTATTTGATAACGTGCTAAAAAAATCAAGCCTACGCTATCTAGAACAAGCGATAAGCCTGTCGCAGTAAACCGACACATAAATATAGATCTAAACAATGAACTATATTTTTGTCGAACCATGTACCAGGAGTTCATGAGCAATAAATATATATAAAACTTTCGTCACTTTAGGTGGTGGCGTCAAGAGCGAAGTGCGCAGCCCAGGGCTGTGCGAAGCCGACGTGGCTTTATACGGCGAAACGCTGCCCTACGACCAATCCGCCCTGCCCTACCAGTATTACAATAGGTAAGTGATTTCATGCCTCTTTTATTTCATGCCTCGGCCAATGTAAACTGTGTTTAAAATTTCAACTTTAAATCATACCATACAAAAATATTCCATATATTCAACCGACTTCAAAAAGGGAGGAGGTTCTCGTTTCGACTTTATTTTTGTTTTTATTGTTTTTACCACAGAACTTTCGACTCGAAAGCTGGCGCCTCCCACGTGGTCCCATGTTAATTTCATTGGTATTGGATCTTAGGCTCCGGAGATACTAAGGAACGCCTGAAAATCAATTATAAAATGAATACATAGTGAGATATTTGGAGTCGGTTTTGTTTTTCGTTGATAAAAAAATAGTTACATGGACGTGTCGCATGATGTAGATGTAAAACATACACTTCGTGGACGAAATAAGAGGTCAGCGGCCTGTAAGGGATTTGGTGGAAGCCTCGAAAACGCGCTCTCGAAATTAATAATCCGTAACTTCCGCGACGCGTATTAAGCCGATTGCTATAAACTGTCTTAATTACTTATAAATTAATTAGGCCTATATTATCCTCACATATTATATAAATATATTACTAGTAACTTGACACGCTTACACTCCTTATAAGACGTCTGGGAATTTTTTGGGACAAATCTCTATTTACTATATACTTTGTTATCGTTTCTAATAACGTGAAAGGGTTTAAATTTGAGAACCAAATTTTCACACTGAAAAAGACCTAAAATAAAATACATAAAAATATAATATAATACAAAGAAAATAAAATACAATATTGACATTGCCTCTACGTTCGGAAACAAAATTCGTATTACCGATTTCACATAATTCGTATTATCGACGTAAAAGCGAGCCAAGAGTAAAATATACCGTGCCAATATCGTGGAGGCACAATAACGTCTAAATTTAAGAAGTCCACTTTAATAAGGTTGCGACGCATCTGCAACCCTATGTTGGTTTCAAATATCAATGGGTGTCACATAAAAAAAATCTAATTAAAAAAGATCTAAAATACATTGCCTAATTACACAAAATCTTTTCCGAATTTAAAGGTGGTTAAACCTCTACATTCTAAAAAGTTTTTGTGGCTGTCACTACCTCTACATTCGGAATCGTTTCAAATAATTCGCATGGCCGGCGTAAGAGCGAGCCGGGAGTGAAAGATACCGTGCCAATATCGTGGAGACAAACAAGGTAACTTTGTCGACAGCATGCAGCAATATGGCGGCGGAGGTGCGGCCTCGTCGTACGTCAGCTCCACCTTGTACAACCAGCCTTACGCCGCTTACCCGCCGCCGCACAACACTAACAATAGGTGCGTATAAAAATATAGTACCATTGAAACATGTAGAAAAAGTACGAAAAGAGTCGCTATGGGAATCGAACCCACATCTTCGGCATTCGCGGCCTGACGCTCTAGCCACTGAGCTAAACGGCTGATAGCCACAGCGACGAAAATCTTAACGCCTTCTACATTGTCATTTTTTAGCATTAGAAGCAATTCTTGGCGCATCTATTATTATATCCTTTCCAGCATACAAACTTTAATTAGGCCTATATTATCAAATGAGCAATACAAACTTTTTCTACATGTTTTAATGTTCAATCTTAAGTGCAGAGATTAGCACTATAAAAAACTTTAAGAAATGATATAGTACAATTCAAGCACAAACCAAAAAAATTGCTAAAAAAATTCGAAGTTTTTTGGTCAATGCGTGAATAACTAAAAATTGGAACGGTAAAATTATAGCGTGCGACCTGTCTATAACCTAGCTAATACTTGCTACCACTTGATCTATTTCTACTATTTGATTTGAGTATAAGGATCTAAAATTAGCTCTATCTATTATTTTATTTCATATACTAGTATTCTGAGCTCTCTAATGTGAATAAAAGATCATATATTTATATTTTAAACACATTGAGTGTAGAATTTGTCCAGAACATCACAACCGAAATATTATTAAATGCTTAACGAAATTTCACATCAATTGTAACCCTGTTGCTGTGTTCATTTTATTATATATCTCAACAACAACATCAGATTATAGTACACATTGTAAAAAGCTTTGAGAATGCCTGAAATGTTTGTGTTCAGGAACTGGCTTCGCTGAGCGTGTTCCATGACACGAACATGGTTTTGCCACTACAAAGAAACCCTAGTAACACTGGCACGCGCAAATTTCTCGTAATTTTAATCTGTGCTTTGATACATATACAATGAAGTATAGTCAGCAAATTAAAAATACAAACATTACTCTCTATCAGCTCATTGCGACTTAAGTCTCCAATAAACAGTACCAAATCGTTTTAGGTATTTTTCAGTTCTAGAAATATGGTTTTAATCGATTGATATTATTTATATGTTATCGCCTGTTGTAAAACTGTGAATATATTTATTAATTGATAAATTCTCATTTAGATCATCTTGTAAAGCGACACCGACATATCTAAGCGCTTACGGCGTGAGCAGCGTGGGTACCGTACCAAGCTCCGGCTTCGCTACGCAGCCCTCGCCATACGCGTACTCATCGTACAACGGCGGATTGGCGCAGTCCTTCCCCAACGCACAACAGGTTGGTTCGCCGGACACAAAGAAACCGGCCAAGTGCGAGTCGTACTCGCGCACGAAGGGCTCCTTACCATTACATATAATATCAGCATGTATGGGAGCACCACGTAATTTTTTTAATTCTGTTTTTTAGTATTTGTTTTTATAGCGGCAACTTTATCCATGAAAATTTCAACTGTCTAACTATAAAGGTTCATGAGATACAGCCTGGTGATATACGGACAGACAGGTTCCGTTTTACCCTTTGGGTACGAGACCCTAAAATTTAAAGAAACTAACAAATATCAATACACCTCACAACACATTTTTTCTGACCTTTGTCATTGATACCGCCATCTAGCGGTAGCATTATTTAAGAAACATTATAAGCTTTTTTTAATATAAAAATATATTTGCATAAAATTGAGCGAAATTATAATTACTGTTTCTAATATTTTATTTTCATAAGGTGATTATAAAATTTAAAGCAAATTACTTAAACCGTAATAACTGAAATATTTTTCAATTTCAGGACTACAGCAGCTATGCATCAGGATATGCGGATCACAGTGTTGCACAATATGGTGGATATTATGCCACTCCTAGCTACTCCCCTTATGTCAGCTCCCCAAGCAGCAGTGGAAGCGCTGGTCACACTTCTTACCATCTTGGCGGAGGCTTATCAGGTTTGTTACAATAAAATAAACTACTACCACATATTTTAGTATTTCATTCATTCATGCTCTATTTAAGCGTATTAAAATCACGATTAAAAGTTGGTTTTGTAATTTATGGTATTTAATTTAATATTATCTATATAGAAAATTTGTCTATGTTTAACGTGCTTGACGTTTTACGTCATTATGTTTTGTCAAACACTGTCAAACAATCAATGTCAATGTCAATAAAGTGTACCTACTTGAACTTGTTGCTGATACATATTTAAAAACAGAAACTGAATTATTGAATTTAATTTTAAATATTAACGGTAGAAGTTCTCACTTGTCAATTAAGGAACAGATGTTATCCCTCTAAGATTCTTTAACCTATCATTTAATACCTTAAAAATGAAGAAAGAGTCAGATAATACTTGTCCTACAAAACGTAGGAAACTTGAGAATGCAGCTGAAGCAGAAACTACAAGCGAAGGCGTAGATGATAACTCAGATTATTGGCCAGATTCTGAAAGTGATAATGGTATTGTCATGTTTATTGAACCTTTAATCAGATGACATTTTCATTAACCTTACCGTAAATTCAATTAATCCAATAATTTTTTTTGTATATGTCATATTAAAGTACATTTTATTATTAACCCACAGATTCTCCATCTTCAATGGTACCATCAATAAATGACACAAGTCCACTGTCACCTATTAAAAATGAAGTCCATGCAGCCAGTAGAAGATGCAGGGAAAATTCAGGGTAAGAAAAGAAATTGTTGAATCCCAACCAAAATAATTTAATATTTTATGATAAATCATTGTCCATAAACATAGATAGGTAACCACTTGATACCAATTAATATAATCAAAAGAACAACAGTAAGTGATTTGCAAATAACCTAGTAACCCATATATTTACCGCTGAGGCAAACACCTGCTCAGAATAGAGTATTTTAAGGCATAATGGATTGATTGGTTTTACTCATTTTCAAAATTTCTCTTGTATTTTGAATATATTTAGTTTTCCTTCGCCATCAAGCTTGAGGCAACAGTAAATTTGCACTCGTGTTAACAGATAAATTTTAGCGAGTGCAGTGCATATCATGGTTGTTGAAACATAGTTGTAAACATTTTCTCAAAAATAAATTAATTATTACAGTGAAAACACAGCTAGCAGATCTCGGGGCCGTGGGAGACGTAATACCTCCTCATCACCAGCACAGCATGTTCCCGAACCATCTACTGAAAGAGTATTCATCTGGGACTTAGATGAAACAATAATCATTTTTCACTCTTTACTCACTGGGACTTATGCTACAAAGTACAATAAGGCAAGTAATTAAATTCCCAAAGTAATGCATTAACTTGACACAGTTTTTTAAATACAATTTCTGCAAAATCTGATTACGAATATATCGTAAATCGGATTTTGTAAATAAATACCCTATATCTTTTTAGATGTCTTTTTACCTTATATAATACAATTGTATAGATAGAATCTATCTATCTGCTATCATACGGTAAATATATTCATGTTTTATCTGATAGTTATTTCACCATGAATATATTTACCTTCACAATGGCCAATAAATGGCTGCTGACATTATAATTGTAACTGAAATTGTAACAATTTTTGATAACATCTTATTTTGTTTTATAGGACACACAGCAAATAGTTCAGTTGGGTTTTAGAATGGAGGAGATGATATTTAGCCTTGCAGACACACATTTCTTTTTCAATGATGTTGAGGTTAGTCACATTTGGTTCTATACTTTCCCTTTTACAAAATTGTATAATAGTTTTACTATTCATACTATTTTAATACATTTTGTATTAAAAAATGAATTGATTTACATATCATTTTGACACAAATATAAATTATGACCAGTGGCAGATCTGTAGTTTTGACCACCTTAGGCCCCAGCCCATGTAGTTCCAGCCGCATCTTTCTCAGAGCCCATCATGTATCTTGTTATCATCAGAAAATTTTGTGATGTGATTGGCCGCCCCTAATATGTGGCCACCCTAGGCCTGGGCCTATTGGGCCTAAGGGCAAATCCACCACTGATTATGACCAAATTTGCTTGAATAGTAATGAACATATCAAAGATTTTTTTTATATTTACAATGCTTGTTAGTTAAAACTATTTATCACATAAGTTTAACAAATAAATTATCAATACTTATATGCTTATCACCATCCACAATCAACTTTCCATATTTAAAGAGACTAAAAATCATTTTTTCTGTACAGGACTGCGACCAGGAGCACATAGACGCGGTGGCAGCGGACGACAATGGCCAAGACCTTTCCGCATACAACTTTGCCTCAGACGGCTTCCACGCGAGCGCCGCCACCAGCGCTGGCTTATGCGCGCCTGGTATGCGGGGCGGCGTTGACTGGATGAGGAAGCTCGCATTCCGCTACAGAAAGATCAAGGACACCTATAACAATTATAGGAACAGGTATACAAATCAAATCAAAAATATCTTTATTCAACTACACGTTTGCGCATTCTTATGAATCGTCAAATTTTAGATAAAAAATTATATATAGTATGTAAAAAATTATGTATAGTTCGTAAGTTACCACAATTACAGATTTGGTCACATTGCATTTTTAATTTAAACCGACGTTTCGAGCACTATGACATCATTTAGACTGTGAAGACAGAAATATTGGTTTGTCTCCTTACAAATATTTTTCTCCCTTTCCATAACCATACATCATTGCATACAAAATATTTGTTTAAATATAACTAATTAATATTCACACCTCCCTTCTTCTATGTATGTAGTTATTCTGAATATTTGAGTGAAATAGGATGACTATCCGTTAGTTATTTATTATTGTATGCCTTCTTCCTAGAAATAAATGATTTATTTGTTAAGTAGTAAAGTTACTCAGTACTAAAATAACCACTCACGGATTGCTGCAAACACCTCTTCTAAGCAATAAAGCAAAATCACAGTTTCAGACCAAGTCTATGCAAATCTTTGTGTCTTTTTAGCTAGAGTTATTTCTCAATAAATAGGTACTTACAATATTTAAAATATATAATATGGTAACTAATAATGCTATTTTGCTATGATATCTAATAAGAATGAACCTGCTTGTATTTCATCATTTAAATATTTTTTTTATATAAAACACCTTTTTTCACCAGTGTGGGTGGTTTACTTGGACCAGCAAAGAGAGAACAGTGGCTACAGCTCCGAGCAGAATTGGAACAAGCCACCGATAACTGGCTTACGCTGGCGTGCAAATGCCTCAACATGATCAATTCTAGGTAGATAGGCACTATGAATAACAATCTAATAGTCTAGTTTATGGTAGGGCCACAACACGGTGTTGGACAAATGGGCAGGTTTGTCTGTTAAACAAAAACTGCTTGCTTTAAATTGAATATGGTGCCTGCACCAATGAAATTGTTAGTTGAAATTTTTATCATGTACTTATAGGTGAAGGATACATCATGAGAAAGCTTACAAATTGTTGAAATTATACTTAAATATATTAAGTATCCATAGATTGAAATGCATAGGACACCTTTGCCTATATGGTCATATTTGTATTGGGCGTTACTTTTTTATACATATAAAAAACAACTTTAAATATGTGATTTCATATTCTCTTTAGCAAAATATTAATGTCAACAATAAATACTGCTCTTTACGTTATTCTTGATTTCCCATTTTTCAATCTCTATATTAAGTAAAATTACCAAGATTAGTTACTCTTAAAAACTTTTAAACTGCAGTTATAATCATATAAATTCATTTCCTTTTTTCAGAGAAAACTGCGTCAACGTACTGGTGACCACCACGCAACTTGTCCCTGCACTAGCAAAAGTATTGCTGTTTGGACTTGGAGGAGTGTTTCCCATTGAAAACATCTATTCTGCAACTAAGACAGGTATGTGGCATATAAAGTATGTATATTTAAAGAAAAAGATGCAATGAATTGTATTTTTGTTTAGAACAATTTTAATATATCGTCACTGGAAAGGCAAAATTACTTAACCGCCAAATAAATGTTTGGCGTTAAAATAATTTTGCCTTTCTAGTGACGGTTATGACTTAATTTTTAAAATTTGTACTAGTATTTTGTCTACTAATTTGTCGCAAATTCTTTAGATTCTAAAAATTTTACGATATCACTTTGACTTATTGAAGTTTAATTTTTAATTTTAGTGTGAGGCTTTGGCACTCAAGATGAAAGTTGTAAAATGTGTAGATAAAACTTTAGATTTACATTTACGATTGATGACTAGTTCGATGATGTTGATTGATGACTAGTCTGTTATGACTAAGTTGCCCAATTATTAGCTTCGGCACCCGGTTGGGTTTGATTCCCACGAGACAATTATTTGTGTGTCCCACGGATAACCACAGATCTATGTGTTTCTCCATGTGATATTTATATATGTAAAACGTCTTTACAGCACAAGATAATGTTATCCTACAATAAGCGGACTATTTTAAAGATCTTCTAGGTCGAAGTGGTCTTTGGGGCTTGCTACCCAAACCCTTCCGCACAAAACACAAATGCTGGAAGAAAACTCTTTTTAGGGCTAAGCACGCCCTTTGTTCATTTGTTTCTTGTTTCTTTTCACTTATACTCTGTGTACTATAAAAAATGCAATACGTCACTGACCTATACAATTGGAACAGGCAAAGAGACGTGCTTCGAGAAGATAAAGCAGCGCTTCGGCGACCGCTGCACGTACGTGGTGGTGGGCGACGGGCAGGACGAGGAGGCGGCCGCGAAGGCGAAGAACTACCCCTTCTGGAGGATCTCGAGCCATTCGGACATCGCGGCGCTGTACAACGCGCTCGACATGGGCTTCTTATGATTTGCTGCTCGCCTGGTACAACCGTCGCGCGACCTCGCGGAAAACCTCTGCCCGTCTCGCTTCCGCACCACGGCGCGCGTGTTTCTCTCTCGCTCTTTAAGACTTCTGTCGTCCTGGTAGTTGCATCGCATATTGTTTGGATTTTTTTTTTTTTTTTTTTGGATCACAGCAAATCGCGCGTATTTCTCTTTCGCTCTGTAGAATTTCTGTCGTCCTGGTAGCTTCATCGCATATCGTTTGGATTTTGTTTTTTTTTTTTGTTCACAACTAATCGGGCGTATTTTTTTTCGCTCTATAAGACTTCTGTCGTCCTGGTAGTTGCATCGCATATCGTTTGGATTTTGTTTTTAATTTTTTTTGGTTCGCAACTAGATTTCTGTCGTCCTGGTAGTTTAATCGCATATCGATTGGATTTTTTTTTGGTTCCCACCTTGTCGCGCGTATTTTCTCTTTCACTCTGTAAAACTTCGGACAAAATTAAAATAATGCGACAAACTAAATTACACAAATCAAAAATTGAGCTAAAACGAGGCAGAGGTAGTGTAAGTGTTAACAATCATATCATATATCTGTTTAGTGAATACATCTAGGGCCCCATATAAAGTACATTCTATTATAAATTATATCAATTACACGGGGCCCCCACAGATCGCTTTGATTTCCGTTCGAATACAACTGTAACTTATTGATATTACTTAGTTTTTAAAGCTCAAAGTCAGCTCAAAACTTACGAAGAGAAACTTACTATACTCTAGAAATTTTGTAAATATTTATTCGTAATGTAGAAACTATCTACATGATGATTCCATTCCTACTAAATAAGTTTTATATTATATACAATGTACAGAATATTTTAGTAAATCATACGGCTAAGACTATATAAATGTGTGAGAGGGGTTTAATTGTATTACGACTAATGTCATAAATAGGACACACTATAATAACTGTTATATATCTCGTGGTTTAAATACGATAAAAATCATTTATGATAGACAATGGATACTTCAACTGTACTAGGATTTTTGTTAGCTATCCAATCATTTAGATGGTGTATTTTATGTTATCATACAACGCCTATCATTGAAGTATAATTAATATATGATAAAACTATTATGGTGTATAAATACTGGCACAAGGGAAATATTTCTTTGTTTCTAATGTTGCATTAGTTGTTTCAGTACTCAAACACTGTTACTTGCAATAACATAATTTTGTACATGTTTTATCTAGAAGTTTTATGTTCCTGACTAACAATAGCACAATTATTATTACATAAAACCTAAACACGATTTAAATGTAAGTTCAACTAATTGCTTATAACAAAAATGGCCAAATCAAATAGCTGGGTAATTTCAAACCGCACTGACTTATATTTTTGACACAAACCTATGTATGTAGTAGCATTAGGGTGGAGTTGCAGTTGCTATGTTTGACCTGCCATGTAAGAATTTAAAAATAACTTACAAAATGTACTTTAGTATTTTGTTGTGTGTAATTACTTGCAATAACACACTTTACCGTTTTAAAAATGAGGCTGATATTCAAGAGCTTGCTTAGTTACATTATATGCTGTGGAATTTTCTTAACTACTGAACTTTTTTATCAATATTATTTTCCCTTAAACTTTTTAGAAGCCTTTTTTATTAACCAGAAGCCTTTTGAGTTATCATCAAAAGGCTATTTTTACTGAGGGTTTTTTTAAGTTATTTTAATAGATATATTTATTAAGCAGCAAAATGTTGTATTGACAAAATCAATTTAAAGATTTTTTAAATAATTTAAAAAAATAGTTAAAGGTCTGAATGATTCCTTATTTGTGTGTTTAATCATTGTTTACATCTGTTTGTACCGAAATTGTGAACAAAATTAGTTAAATATTCTTTTTAAAATGAAATACGAAAACTCATTTCATTAAAATTAATGTACAGTCTAAACAATAACAGTTTTAAACTAAACTATAAGACCATAACTGTTTTATAAAAATGGGGAGGTTTATTTGAGTACAGACCTGAATATATATATAATTGTATTTTGCATATGCATTTCACATGTTTAATATATACTGTTTAATCATACATCAATCCCGCATATTATTTTTAGATGAATTGAATTTAATTAGACAAAATTTGTATGTACATTATCAGTCTTTGAAAAGACGATTTGTTATACGGAAAGTAGCAATATTTTTTAAAGAATAATTAGAGGAAATAACACTAACAATGAATCGGAGCGTTGTAAATAAATATACATAGATACTACATTGAAATCATAGCGACTTTGCTAGTGATATTATGCAGATTCGATACGAAACTTGCGATTATTCGGCGTGTAAATAAAAACATAATTATATATTATTTGATCATTACGTGAGTTTTATTGTTCCCTAAGTTGGTTTTGATAAAAATTAATAATTTATATAAGTACCTTAATATGTAATGTATATCAATAAACAAAAAAGTCAGTGAACTTTGTAGAAAGAATTTCATGTTTTTGAAACAAAATTAATTTGAATTAAGAATTCACAGCCAATCAAAACTTTATTTTGTTTAAAATGGCCAGTACTGAACGGCAATTTCATAGGTAAAGACCTATTATTAAAAGAAAATGCATATTATGCAATATGTATTTTCAAATAAAAGTGCCCTTTATGCTAGGTACTCGCTAAACTACTTTCCTGTGGTAGGGCCACGCAACATCAGTTGATGCACGAAGAGGCAGGTCCGTCCAGGTAAGTACCACGACCTCACAGAAGACCAGCGTGAAGTGAAGTGTCATGCTTCTGCGTTTCGTCTAGTGAGTGATGTAGCCGGGGCATAGTTTATTATAAGATGGCAACGCATCTGCAACCCTACGGGGTGTTGCAAATATCCATGGGCGAAGGTCATCACTTAACATCTGGTGAACCGCCAGCTCGCTTGCCATCCTCTCACATAAAACTGAAATAAGACGAGGAGACACTTCGATTAGCTTCGTGAGACTTCGGACTAGGAGAGGTCTAGATAACTTTCAATGGCTGTTGGAGTAGTTCTCACTTTGGAGTAAAAGGGTCTCGAGGTATCCTAATACACAACCACAATTTTCCTTTTTTATAACACTTTTTTGTTATAACACTTTTCCCTTCTTTACCGCATCGTACGAGCGTGTAGTCAGGTAAACTTTGACTGAAACATCTTGACGAATCTCGCAGTTAGCTTTCAAGGGCCACGCGACGGTCTTCGCTGTTGCATGAATCGCAGATCCGTGTGGGGAAGTCTCCCAATATGTAAGTGTGGTGGTATATAAAATCTGTCAAACCTTGTCATTGATGTCACCTGAAATTGGCGGGAAGAACCTTACCGCCATCCTAGCTGTCAAGTGTCATTGTAGTCTTCATCATCAGCAAGCTCCTTGTTTCATTGCTGTGTTTTCTCCAACATATAATACCTATTTTGTCTTAATGCAAAACAGTAATATTATATGTATTCGAAAACACAGCAATGAGATGAAGACCTGTTTGATATCTGCTGTTGATCAGAAATTACAAAACACAAGAATGCAATGTGAATAAAAATTACAATTAAACCCCTTTTTAATATGAGTTTAATTATTTATTTCCAATTTATAAAGTACAAATTAACAAATTTAATTTTAACAATAAAATTGCACTGTATGGTTATTAATCTATTGAATTATTATTTTGAAAACAAAAAGCAAAACTGAAAACTAAATCTTTTCTATAAATTTTAAGAAATGCTGCATTCATAATGCTACAACAAATAACAATCAACAAGATAAACTTGTATCCTAATTTACAATATAAATAGAACTAAGTCACAGAGCACAATATAATCACTGCTCTCTCATTATTTTAATTAATTATTTTTAATTAAAGCACTGAGATCATATCAAATCTTAATTATAATTAAATGTAATCAGACAGTTTTAAAATTGTTGTATAGAGAGGTACTTTCCACTTCCCTATTGATTGATCTTTTTACTTCCTTACAGTAGTACCTTGAGAATGTTTCTACACATTTCCAATTTCCCCTTTCTAGTATTTCCTGAACTGGTCTATTGTCTAGCCATCCCCTAGAAGCTACAGCTGATCTTATACTTCCTGGCGAGGCATCAATCTTGGCAAGTTTAAATATTGAACGTACCTGCCTGCAATCATTGTTTTAGATGCCGGTCTGACCACTCCTGTGATTGAAATAAAAAGAGAACTTACTTGGTTTTCTTGATCACGTCTGGCTTCTGACCTCTTAATTAATTCCTTCACATGAGTGACAGGACAAATCTGAGGATCTTCATGTCTTATAATAAGCCAGCCTGATTGTCTGTGCGAACCTGAGTCTGTCTTTGAGCCAAATCTTGGCCAAAATGTCACGGTGTCCTCTGTTTCTGTATATCCCTGCCCACAGACTTCCAAGAGAGTAAGGTTATGTAACCTTCGACCAGAAGCTAATAAGAGAATTAAGGCAGTTCGTCTACTTTGGTCAAAAAGGGAATTTGTATTTGGAGATGCTTTTAGCCAGGTAAATAAAGTGTTTACATCCCATATAGGGGGTCTAGCTATACATGGTCTAGAAAGTGAGATAGCTTTTAACACCTGTTGTATGAAAAAAAATTATGAAAGGTTTTCTAATGTTGCTGCACAGTGTGTTGAAACAGCAGATTTATGTAAGAGAATGGTGTTATAGGCAAAATTATTCTTTAAATACAAATTTGCTAAAAACCTTGCTACATCTTTACCCTCCGGACTTTTACTGTTTAGATTTTGTGACTTACACCAGTGCAACCACCTCTTTGGGGCACTGTAAGTGGTCAGGGTAGACGTGCGCCAGCTACTTCTCAATAGCTGTAGTTCATCCGTACTCCAGTTTGTTACTTGGTCTTCCCACCCCCAACTTTCCAAGCATGAAGCGCGAGTTTCTCCACTTGAGGAGGGCTCAACCCCGTTGTTCGGTCCACAAGTACCTCTATCAAGTTCTCTATTGGCAGCGGGGGTGCTAGAGAGCACGTGCCTGAAGATCTGGGAACCAGAAACATTGGGTCCACTGTGGCGCAATCACGTAATATGTCCCTACTGCATTGTTTAGATGTGCTAAGACTCTGGGTATCATACTCGGAGGTGGGAATACCCATGCTACTCGGAATTTCCATTTTCGACTGAAAGCGTCGTAGAAAAGCGCCGAGCCATCTCTTAAGTCCAGTGTCACGTACTTTGTGACAACAGCAGTCTCTTTTGTTGCGAAGAGATCGATCTCGGGAGTTCCCCATCTTCTGAATATTGCCTCCGTGGCAGGTGGAAGCAAATGCCACTCGGGCACCGGTCTTCCCCTTGATAGGCAATCTGCGATGCCGTTTAGGTTTCCCGGTAAATGGTATGCTGTCATTGTTATGTTGAATTGACAAGTTAATTCCAGTTACCTGTGTGTTAGGCCCAGTAGGTTCAATGAACGAGTTCCACCCTGGTTTCGAATGTATGACACTATTGTCCGATTGTCCGACTGTAAGAGAATGTGGGCATTCCGTAACCTTGCACCCTGGGACTTGATTACAGCAAAGACTGCATACATCTCCTTCATGTTGGAGTGCCATGCTTTTTGGGTTGCAGCCCATTTGCCTGAAAGGTAATGACTGTTCAGGCATGCTCCCCAGCCCGCATCCGCTGCGTCTGTGGTTAAGAAATGGGTTATTACCCTTTTGTGTAGTGGGGTTGGACTGCCCTCCACTGCATCCAACCACCACCGCAGGTACTTTCGCATTCTGGGGCATAATTGTCTCCTCTGTCCTCTCCGAGTAAATCTTCTCAGGAAGAGCTGTGCTCTGTGACAGTGAAGCCGTCCTCGAGGGACCGCCTGGTTGGCGAAATTCAGCATGCCCAGTAAGCTGTGCAGTTCTTTTAATGAGCAACTGTCTTGGTCTAACATTTTTGTTACATAATTTTTTATGCCAAGAACTTTTCTGGTGGGTAAGGCTATTGTCTGGTTCTGAGTGTCCCAGGTCAGGCCCAAGTATTCTAGCTTGTGTGTGGGCTTTGTTAGGGACTTCTCGTAATTTACGTGCCCACCTAAGTATTCCAAGAAGACCAGTGTTTCCGCAACCTGTGTCATTAGCTTGGATCTGTCCTGACAAGCCAGGAGGTAGTCGTCCAGATATACTAATAGGCGTATGCCTCGCTCCCGAAGCATTTCGGCCACCCAGTTCGAAACTGCCGCAAAAGTCCGGGGTGCAGAGGACAGGCCAAACGGTAGGGCTGTTAATTGGAGGATCTCTCCATTGTAAACAACCCGTAAAAACCTTCTGTGAGTCTCCGCGACACTCAGATGGAAATAAGCCTGGTGAAGATCGATCTTTACTAACCAGTCGTTCACCTGCAGGAAATCCACTACATCTAACTGTGATATTAGGTAAAAATGTTTTGTCGTTATATGAGTATTGAGAGCCCTGAGGTCGAAGATAGGGCGAAAACCACCATCTGCTTTTTTTACTAAAAACATCTTTGAAAGGAAGGGATTTTCAGAGGAGGTTTCTTGCTGAATGGCAAGCGGTGATTCGCTATTGAATTTAAAATAAATTGGTCCTCTGAATCCCTCTTTCGAGTCAAATTTCTTTGGGCTTAGAATTTGATCCTTCTGCATTGGATCGACGTTGCCGAAAGGGCCGAGTCTTCTTCAGACTATGCTTAATTTTTTTATCAGATTTTCTATTCTTATTTTTAAGATTAAATTTTTGATTTTTAAAAGAGTAATCTCCCCGCTCTGAAGTTTTCCTTTCTTTTAAATAAGTTGGAGTGTTCAGCCAGACCTGGGAACCTCCCAGAGATTGTATAATAGGTTGTAAAGCTTCCCTACTAAATAAATATTCAGAGCTGGGTGGAACATTTTTTAAGGTGTTCCTTAAGTTTTCATTGGAAATTTCTTTTAAGATACGATCTCGCCTAACCTCAATACATTCAGAACGCTTTCCACATATAATTTGCATAATGGTTTCCGAGTTCTTATGAGTTTGTGACCCTGGTCCAAACATATTTGAGATCTTATCAAATAAATTATTTGAGTTCAAGTTCTGTGGGTTATTAGTCGCCCAGTCTATTATAGATTGTAAACCTGATCTCAATAATTGTCTCCGTTCTAAAACTTTGTTGGAGAGACCTGCCAGAAGTAATTCTGTTGAAGCCAGATAATCTTTGCTTCTATTGAAATGACATAGTTCATCATTGATCTGGAGGCCTGTGAAACCAGGTGTTGCCAAGCAACCCTGCAGGGCTTGTTTTTGTATCTAATACCTTTCCATGCTTGAGACTCAAACTGCTGCAACTTATTTAATTCTAAAAACCTATCCCTATCACTATCTGGTATAATCTTTTTATTATCAATATCAGTATTCAAAGAACCCCAATCAAGGGACAAACATTCAGTTTGAGAAGGTAATGTGATGAAAGGTGATGAACTATTTGACTTATTATTATTAATCATTATTTCTGGTGCAATAGCACTACTATTGGGTATCATATTATTATTGTATTGTGATAACAAATAATTAGATATATATGACACTTGTGTCATCAAAGTATCAACACGCGGATCGGTACGAACATGTTTTGACTTGTACTTACGTGTCGTTGCACGAGAACGCTTATTGGGTAGTGGCGATGCTGTTCCCTCCTCAAACTCCGAGGATGAGGAGGAGCTGCTCTCTGCCTCCCCCGAGCTTGTTGACGGAAATTGTTCTCCATCCGAAGCAACAACACCGTCATGCTCAACGTTCTCTTTGTTATCACTTTCCATTTTCGTAAAGTTACAAGTCTGTGTCTCCAATAAAACGAAAAACTCACTTAATATCTCCTTTTTTAAATAATTATTAAGGTAAGATATTCTAAAGAAAGTACTTGAATAAATGTTTTCTCACGAGTAAAAAGACAACGATCTTACGCGAGAGAATCACAAGAACGCAATGACACTTGACAGCTAGGATGGCGGTTAGGTTCTTCCCGCCAACTTCAGGTGACATCAATGACAAGGTTTGACAGATTTTTCAATCAATACATAGTGATGTTAGTGTATTTTCATAGAATCACATGGACTGCTTCTTCATCTCATTGCTATGTTTTCGAATACATATAATATCTTAATATTCCGCCGTCCGCTTTTATATGGTAATCTACCAATATACTGAAATCTGCCAATCCGCAGTGAGGTCGCGTTGTGGATTCGTTCGGTATGACTAGAGTAGGTAGATGTATGGTAAGAACGAAAGAAAGAGCTGTTAGATTAGACCGATTAACAGTTTGCATTCGTAAACGTTTCTCCGAGTACAGTACATAGATACGTTTCCAATTCGTTCATCGTTCTATACAAGACTCATTAATGTGCAAACCTTGCAGTCAACTTTAGTGCCCTCACTGAAGCCACATCATGTCATTTATTACTCTGTGCACGCTTCGGTTGCTAAGCAACTACTTGAAAACAATAAACGTTTTTCAATATAATTTGAAACTTGCTAGCCTTACTAAGTGCAAAATATTATTAGCCTTAAAACTTGTGAATATAATGAAGTCCGTGGTGAATTCAATACTGTTTGATGTTTCAAAGAACGAAATGTTCAAAATAAATGAAAATTACAAGTTGCTTCATCGAAAACTAAAGACCACGTGGAAGGTTATGATGTAAGTATAAAATTATACTAATTCATCATCCATATTGCGTGGAAGGTGCAGTAATATTATGTGATTAGTTTGTATAGTTCAAAGAAAAATTCAGTTCTTTCGTGAACACGGTTCAAGCGACTATCGTAACATGTATATAAAAATGTTCATTTAAAGTTAAGAAGAGGATGAAGGATTCTGTTTCTTGGTTATCAGTAAACAAGATCAAGATATAGATAAAGGGATGAAAGTTTTCTAAAAACAAATAGGTTAACTTACCGATTGAACATCTCTGTTCTTTGAATCGCCACTACTAGATACATAATCATTGGATTGTAAAATATTTAGTAATTATTCACCACATATCACCTTCGATAACTGGCGATGGCTAGGGCGTAATCATCCTTGAATGTTCTTACTTTTTTGCAAGGTGTTGTATACTATAAAGGATGCCAACTAGATGGCGCCACGTATTGTTAAAGAAAATGCAATAAAAGACCGTAGATGGATGTAGAGATTTTTGCGCGGTGAGGTCTTAACTTAGTTCTTAAAGCATCAAGAGCGTTTCGAACCCTTTTCCGTGACCATGAACGCTGAAAGGGTTCGAAACGTTAGGTATTTCAAAACAAAATAAAAACGCGATAAAATCCTTAAACTAGTTTCATTTAATAATTATAGTATGTTTAAATAAGTTTGCACAATTATAGGTTGTTAACTTATTGCTTTTCCAAAGTGCGTGGAGCATTTTGCTGAACCCAAGGGAGTGATTATCCTTAGCTAGTTATACAAACATAAACCCTTCCAGAAACCGCGACGAGCTGTCGCCAAGCGTATTGGAGGACGTGCAGATCCTGGTGATACCAGGGCCGCAGAATGTGTTCACGGACGACGAGTTCGCCTGCCTCAAGGCCATGGTCGAGAGAGGGGACTCAGTCCTGGTGGCGATGGCCGACGGCGGGGAAGAGCGTATGAACACAAACATCAACTTCTTCTTGGAGGAATACGGGATCGTGGTAAACAACGGTGAGTCGATGTGTTATCTCTATCTCTTCACGTTTCTGTCTCTTTCAGGTCGGCCCGTGGTAAGTAATTACCGCCGCCAATGACCACCTACAACACCCGTTAGCCTCACTTCCCCGATAAAAGTTGAGCATCCTTTGATACTTATCAGTAATATTTTCTTAAGCGTCTTCTCTTCTGAAAATTGTGTCCTACGTATTTTGGTAAGAAACACATAATCGTTTCAACTTTTTAGTTCGTCGCTGAACAATTCAAATACCTACCAAATTAATTTTACAAAATATCAAGAAACTTATGAAAATGTGAAATAGCTATAGCTTAATATTTCCTGTCGTTTTTTGCATATTTCTTTCACATTTCTTTAATTTATTGACAAAGAAAAAATAATACAGCGGTGTCTAAAGAGTGGGATTGAGGGTCACATGACGAGATCGCAGTTTCAAATCCCTGTAGGTGTTTAACAAAGGGTTTTGATTTTTTACTTTTACTTTGACAACCACACACATCAATAATTACTGGTGTACGCGTCATGCTCATGTCTTGTGTTTATGTTCTGTGGAAACTGGATAAATTGTAAAACTTTGTGGATTGAGTGACAAAATTGCTAATTAAATTCCTTTCTACCAGTATTTGGCAACATCTACCGCTACAGAATTGGCTTCATACAGTAGTCCTCGTAGTAAAAGTAAACTCGGCCATTACCTAGTTGTAGTTCAAGCTTATTTTTATTTTATTTAATAAAATGGCTTTTAATGCGGGTCGAGATCATCACGTCACTAAGAACGCTGCAAATAAAGTTTCCGTGAAAATCTTGAAGCTTGCTTTACTTTTTTTTTCAGATTGCGTTGTGCGCGCTAAATACCACAAGTTCTATCATCCGAAAGAGTGTCACATCTCGAGCGGAATACTGAACCGAGGCGTAGTGAAACACATCATGAAAATGCCCAACTATACCGTGGAATCAGACGACTTTTTGTAAGTTCTATTGTTTATAACAACTCCGAAGACCTCTCTATTATTTACATTTTATATCATTACAGGAGCTTAGTTTATAATGATCTAATAAAAGTTTATTTTATTGTCTTGGTTTTTAGCAGATCGTTGTTAATAATACTACTTTAATAAGGGATACATCGTGCTGCTATCAAAAACACGCACTATACGTTATGTTACAACTTAAAAGCATAATAACATCTTTAAGTTTTTCTAAAAGTAGGATGAAATAATCATAAACGCAAATACATGAGAAGGAATGTATCTTAAACTATAAAAAAAAACAAGTAAAGCTTTTTTATAACAAGGTGGGTAACTCTATAAAAGAATTGAACATCCGGCAAACGCAATACTTATGAGTATTACGCAGTAAAATATCACAGTGAAAAATAAAAGAGTGAATGTTGTTGGTTTTAAGACATTCAACCTTCATTGAATTATATTTAAAAAAAAATAAAAAAAATTATAGAAGACCATCATCCGGTATCTTCAGATATTAGAATAGTTAATTCGTTATCAATCTTTATTTTGATCCTAGCAAGAATGAACCTGGAAAAGTGAATGTAAAAGTAGAGATGAATCATAAAATAATGATAGTAGAGATGAATCATAAAATAATGATAGTAGAGATGAATCATATATATATAATGACAATAGACATAAATCATTAACCGCTATGGTAGAGAGGAGCCGGCAACTCCAACATTCGTATATCCGTACGGTGCAACATTGACGGTGAACAAACCCGCGGCGGCCATCTTGTCCAGCAGTGACATATGCTATCCGGTGAAGAGGCCAGTCGCCGCTCTGTACACTTCGGAGAAAAGCGGAGGTAACTGTGTTTTAACGTAAACTACCCTCATATATTTCGCCCAGTATAAATCTGTTGTTATATTTTTATGTAAGAATAAGAAGGTGGCAAACTGGCTAACGGTCCACCTGACGTTAAAACGTGCAACACCCATAGGGTTGCAGACGACCTTTTTAATAAAACACGTTGTCACTAAAACGCGTTCCATCTAGAGGAATTAACAGCGAGCGCCCGGTCACAGAGATATCGTGGCCCGTGTTTGTAATTTATTGTTATGTTATCGGAGTTCATTTTATATTTATTTTAGTTCATTTGATGATAAGTTCCCAGGGCTAAAAAGTCTCTCCACGAACATATACAAAGTAAAAAATAAATAAAAAATAATAAATAAATATTTTAGGACACATTTTTACACAACATTCTCTAGTCCCAAACAAAGCAAAGCTTGTACTATGGGTACTAGAAAACTGATAAATATACTTAAACATACTTTTCTTTTGTAAATAAATACATATTATACATATATAAACACCCAAACACTATGTTCATCACACAATATTTTTCCAGTAGTGGGATCAAACCCACACCCTCTGGCAGCAGGAGGCAGGTACACTACCCACAACGCCATTCGGGTCGTCTAATCTATCTACCTTAATAAAACGCGTTGCCACCTTTTTAATAAAGAGGGCTGCGGCAACCTCATTCACCAGACGAAAGGCGGAATCATAACACTTCACGCCAGTCTACTGTAAGGTCGTGGTACTTACTCGACGCACCTGCCCATTCGTGCAACAGCGAAGACCGTTGCGTGGTCCTACCACAGTTGCAACTGCAAAAAGAAGAGCTCAACAAGGGATTCCTTTGATTGTTCATAATCAAACCGCCGATTGTTCGAAGGCAAGCTCTTCGTCATCGGCTCGGCCCACTTCTTCGCCGACCAGTACCTGGAGAGCGAGTGCAACGACCTCATCCGCGAAATGATTTTCAACTACCTCGGCGGGGTCATCGACCTGCACCTCAACCCCGTGGACGTGGAAGATCCAGACGTTAGTTGGCCGCTTCCATTTCTCTTAGCGTGAACGAGAGAGTAGAGGAAGGAAAGGACGGATTTGTCTAAAAGTAATATTACTTAAATTTGTAATCTATACTAGTAAATCGTTGCCTTGACTGGTCAGTCATCAATGGATAGCATCATCATCCTCTTCGGGGCAGGAGTGTGAATTAGTCTAAGTAGTGAACCTATTCTTTTGCATTCAGATTGGTAAACGAAACGTAAAAGCCACCAGAACCATCTGCGCGCGTCCTTCTGACCTTTTTTTTTTGGTATCGGGGGGGAAATCTTCGTAAGATACACCCTGTCAATCTATGACAGGGTTATGTGGGGTTCTTACCCACTAAAAACCCCTCGGTGGCCACCTTCTGTAAGTTTGGAGGGACTCCGGGATCTACGGAACGCACCGGTGTCCCTCGGTACTGGGCGTGACCACGCCGCGGAGAAGGATAAACCTTCCCCGATTCCCTCACCATCTTGCAGCAGCTCGAGGCTACAGGGCTGGCGTCCTTCTGACCTAACATAAAGTGTAAGTTTTAGTTAGTTAGTGCCCTCATCACTAACGATTTATTGAGATAGTAGTCTTTTTATTATGTTAAAGTAACAACTTTAACATAATAAAAAGACTACTATTCTACTAGCAGGCAGTTCACCTGATATTAAGCGAATACTGAACCAAAAAAAAAATACAAAATTTTTGTTTTAGGTACGAGTTTATACTTGTACTCACATTAGGGGTCACAAGAGGCATTTATAACAAAAAATATATTGTGGTACAGACTTGTCCGGAGAAGTCAGCACGGCCTCACAGAAGACCGGCATGACACACAAACACACTCTGGTGTTGAGATCATTTACGGGTGGCTGGTCCAACTTACCACCAGGTGATCCCGTATGGTAATCACATCCACGACCCCGACCCTAAAGCCAATAGTGGAGGTTATTCCTCGGTCGAGTGAGCTGAATCCATATCTATCTCGTAATAGCCAACAAAACGGAAATCCAATAACTTCGATTCGTAGCTGGTTAAAGTAGTTGAGTATGTTAGGAAATGACTCTTGCTTTGCAGTTGCAAGTCGCTGCTGCTGAGTTTATAACTAACACATTGGCGGTATTTTTCTGACTTTCAATAAGAGCTTATAACAAGGCTATATTGACTAAAGAAATTTTGAGATTTAAATTTTCATAGTACTTTCTCAGCACTTTGACAACATTGACGAAACCATTTCACCGCTGCCGGAATCGAACCCATCTCATTCAGTTTCCCGTCTTGATTCTTTAAGCACTAAATAAAACGGCTGATCGCCAGGTCGACGTAGATCTCATCTCAACGTATTTTATCTAAATTGCTGTTTCGCATTTCACGCAATGCTTCGCTCATCTATTGTTATCTCCTTTACATCATACGGACAATTTTGATGACTCCGTGGCGCAGTTGCCAACGTATTGACTTCGGCTCGATCCCCACACGGAACAACGATTTGTGTGAACCACAGATGGTCGTTTCGCATCTGGGTGTTTGTCGACGTGAAATATATGTTTGTAACGTCCTTACACTACGGGATAATGTTATCCTGAATGTAAGGGCAATGTTTTAAAAAGGAATGGAAAAAAGAATGAATTTCGAATATCCTTTTTCTACGAATTTTTTAAATCAAACGGAGCGTTCCAATTTTGAAAACGAAGTAAATCCAGGGGTCTGTTGGCAGGTGAATGAATACCGCACTTTGGGCGATGCGCTGTTCCTGAGTAAGGTGCCGCTGCCCGCGCCCGCCACCGCCCCCCCACCCCGCCTCGCACCCCTCCACCCGCACGCGCTCTTCACCTGGAGCCTGTTCTCCCTCAACCTGGCACAGCGTGAGTATCATGTTTTGCATCTTCTTTCTTGTTCTTTTATCTTTTCTTTCTTCTTCTTTTGTCTTTATACTTTTTTTCTATGATCTTTTTTCTTTCTTCTTTTTATCTTTTTTCTTCCCTTAAAATTGCAATTGACCATTTCATCGGTCCCATCCGAGATTCGAACTCAGATTGCTCGATTACACTGAATTAACAGTAAGCACCCGATTACTGAGCTATCATGGCTCGTGTTTGTAATTTATTGTTATGGTATCGGAGTTAATTTTATGACCAAGTTTCTAGGGCTAAAAAGTCTTACCACGAACGTATACAAACAAAGTAATAATCATGATATGAGTCGGGTGAACTTATAACCACAATCCAATTTATGATCGATCGATGGAAATAATCTGGGATAATATTTAAACATGTTTCTAAGCACTGATGTGTGTTTGTCTTCCTATAATTTTTAACCCCGGACGTAAAAAGGGGTGTTATATGCTTAATGTTTCCGTTTCATCGTAGCTTCTAAACGAATAGACCAATTATGGTGCAGTATTTTTTGAAAGCTGACTTGATCGAGACAGTTTTTAGGTATAAGTTGGGTTTTCTTTGTTTACCTACTTAACATTTTTAATTTTATGTTATCCATACGGTTTTTGTCTTTAGTGCCAGAGGCGCTGGGCTTGTATGACGCTTTGGCGGTGAAACATGAACCCCTAAGGCTCATAGCTCCACAGTTCGAAACACCTTACCCGCCGCTACAGCTAGCGGTAAGTATACCGGTGTAAGGTTAACTTCAATAACGTTTTATTTCATTTCGATACCGAACACTCATTTACAGACACCTATATATCTTTATACGCATTATAAAAAAAAATCACATAAATAATAGAATGTATGTTATATATTTTAGTCTGAAAATTTGTCGATTGTTTGAGGAGGCTCACCTGATGTTAAATGAGCACCGCCGATATTGGACATCCACAGCACCTGATGGTATCCTATGCGTTGACAACCTTTAAAAATGTGGGCCCCGCTTACCTCACTGACCAGACGAAACGCAAAAGTTTAATAGTTTCACTTCACGCCGGTCTTCTGTGAGAATCAGAATTTTAGCACAAGAATATTTTTGATTCGATTTTGATACAGTTACCTGTGTAGAGATCTTATTTATATGTGTAGATATCTTATTTTACGAGTGAAATTTAGCAGTCTATGAAAGTTATAGATTCAGGTATGAAGTTATTTAAAAAACTGATGAACTCTACTGAAAATTGTGTCTTTGCCCAAGCCAACTCGCGTGCTACCTTCTCACACAAAAAAAGGACGGTTGTGCTTCTGGAGTTTGTATATATGTATCACTACATAGTATAAAACGAAGTCGTCCCGTCTGTCTGTCCCTATGTATGCTTAGATCTTTAAAACTACGGAACGGATCTTGATGCGGTTTCTTTTTACTAGATAGCGTGATTCGAGAGGAAGATTTATATGTATAATACCTTGCACACATGCGAAGCCGGGGTGGGTGGCTAGTAATGTATATATGTATAATTGTCCCGTTTTGCGACCGCCTCTATAAAATGCGCAAAGGTATTCGCGCCTACATTCCGCGAGCCGCCGCCTCCACCTCTGGAGCTCTTCGACCTCGACGAGGCGTTCAGCTCGGAGCGCAGTCAGCTCGCCCGCTTGGCCGACAAATACCTGCAGCCAGCGGTCACCAGGATGGGCGAAGGTCAGCCATCGAACGGTTTCTCTATTACCGCCGTTCTATTTCAACGGAGTAACCATGGAAACATGTTAGATGTTCCGAATTGAAAGTAAAAAGTGTCTGCCTATACTCATTCCACTTCTGGGCAAAGACGTCTGTATAGAGGGTATTAGGGCTCAGTCAGCCACGCGACCCAACTGCCGTCGGATTTGAAGACCTTATATATGTTCGATTGTTTTTTTATGTTTGTTGTTTTTTTATATTTTAACTAATGGATAAAAACTGAGTTACTTACCGTTAAGTATCTGTTTTACTGTCAAACACTAAGTTTGTAAGAATAATTATGTGGCTGTCATCATCATCAGACCACATTAATCTATTGGCGGATGAAGGCCTTCCTAGGAATCTGAGCAAAGTTCAGGTTCGACAAAATCTAATAACTGAAGATGGCATATCGTTAGGATACTTTCATAGCAATTCTCAATAAATCGAGGGTCCAATTTCATTAACAAAATTCAAAATGTGTAGAAAAGAGTACGAGTTTCTCGCCACTGGCTGTGGGAATAGAACCCATATCTTTGGGATTCGCGCCCAGACGCTTTAACCACTAAGCGGCTGATTGCCACACCGACTTTACATGCAGTAAAGGACAATGGATGTGCCAACGAACAATTTCTAATATCGATTTACTACGATTATTCGAACGAGGGATGTCGCCATTGCCATTAGAAATTTAAATTTTCAAAATGCTAATCTCTGCACATAAAAAAAATTTTCAAAATGCTAATCTCTGCACATAAAAAAAATTAAATTTATGAACTCACATGTCACACAAAGCATCGGTACTGTCTGTCCGTCTTTAAATCCTAAGAGGCAAAACTCCGATCCTCGTTACACCCTCAGGGGACGTTGGGCAGTTGGAAAACGAGCTGGAGTACTTCATACGGGAGTGCGGGCGCGTCGTCAGGCTCACGCGCGCCTCCCCTGCAGATGAGGGGCCAAGCGCCAGGAGCATCCTGCACCAGCTCGGCGTGCAGTTGGCGACTTACAAGAAGATGGCGCCCAGGGAAGAGTAGACACCAGTATAGGCAGACCCCCGCATCCGTCCGTTTCCGGAGAGGAATAGACCGCCAGTGCAGACAGATTTTTGTGTACGATCGTTTCCATAGCGGTGTATGCCAAAAGTTTAGGCAGACCCTCGCATTCGATCATTTCCATAGAGGGATAGACCAGAAGTTTAGGTAAAATCTCGAATCTATCCGATTCCACAGAAGGTTAAGCCACCAGTGTAGACAGACCCTTACATATCTTCGTTTCCAGAGAGGGTTAAGCCACCAGTGTAGGCAGACCCTCGCATACTTTCGTTTCCAGAGAGGCGTAGACCACAAGTTTGGATAGACCCTCTCATTTGTCCCTTTTGCAGAGAGCAGTAAATCACCAGTATAAACAGACCCTCGTATCCCTACACACAATGTCTTATCTCATGAGTTGCCTTGCGGCTGGTGCCGGGAATTTTTGAAACTATACTGGGTAGCTGGAACAAAATTTGTGATATTTATAAACTATGTATATTTTTATTTGACAACTAAGATAATAATTACTATTGTAAGAGAAAATTGTAATTGTAGAATAAGTTACTTTTATTTAAAAAGATAAAAAATCGTTAAATTTGTTGTAAATCCATCGTTTTCTTTAACCTGATAATTTTTTTTCAACGCACCGTTACCTAAACAATCAACAGTTTTAATATAAAATATGATTATTTATTAAAAACGCGAAATCTTTTTGTAAATTGTTTATATATATATATTTCAAAATGATTTTTCTTTCAATGGCAATCGCGTCGAAAATTGCAGCTAAAAATTTTAAAACCCATGTTGGGTTGCTATAACTTTATTCTTGCATTACAGCTTAGAAGAATTTGTTTATCAACTGATTCTAGGAGAAAAAAATTTTCAATATTTCTATAATAACAGAAGTTATTATAGAAGTATCAAAATCTTCTAAAATACTGTTCGAATTTCATTCCTAACTCCGCCTACCAGTCGTTATAATTCGAATTACGAATACAAGTTGTGCACTTTATAATACGCACATTGAAATCAGAAATTGGAAACTGTTCCAGTTTATCGCATCACTGGTTGAGGCCATCACAAAAGCGATAAAATGCCAATAAAGTTTGTTTTACAATCGGTACCCGTTTCCCAATGTGGAAATTAGAGTCGCGGCGATGAGACTTTCGCTCGCTGCCGTCGTTATTTGCGCTTCGTGCTGCTTGTGCTATGATGCATACGAGGACACGAGGGTCATGGCGCGGGCGTATCCCGCCCAGGTGAAAATACCGTTCCATCGGAAAATCCACATACTGAACGCCCAAAAGTCCAAAAGGTCCCCAAAAGCCCTGCCAACCGAGATCAACAGGCACAACAACAAGAAGCGATACTTGACGGCGGTCAAAGACTCCTATACGGTGTTCCCGCCGATCGGAATGAGGGTAAAGAAGGTTAACGATTTCCCAGAGAGCCCCTTCTTCCCCTTAGACGCGCTGTTCGACCAGAAACCTAACAAGGTCATCAAGAAGATGCTACCCGACTACGGCTTGCAACACCTCAGACTGAAGCGATCCGTGGGAAACACGAAAGCGAGCGTTAATGGCAAAACTACCAAGAAGATCGACGCTAAAACTAAAGATAAGAAGGCCGAAACAAAGAGTATGAGTAATAAAACGATTGACAAAAGCAGAGTCGCGCGCAAACAGAATCCAGGCGGTGCCAACAGTAAGAGCAAATCGTTGAAAAGACGCACGTCTAGAGTCCCTGTGAACAAGGCGAAAATACAGAAGAAGCAACCCGCCAATCCACCAAAAGAACCGACGAACACCATTACGAAGAATAAAAGGACAGCAGACAAGAGGAACCTGCGAACACAAAACAAAGCGAACAGACCGTCGAAACAGAGCTTGCGAAGTGGCCCATCGAGACACAACAGGAATCCGAAATCGAGTCTGAGGAGTCGCCCCAACAAAGTCAAACGCAGCGGAAAGCAGAAATCGAAGGCGGTTAAGCGCCCGCAAGCGCAGCGCGACCGCAAAGGTAAATTGTAAAGTGACGATGTTAATAAATCGATTGATATGGCATTCATTTTCATTTGAGAACCCCTTGTTTGTCAGTAAATGTGGGCAGGCGTCTGATCGCCGGGAGGGACGCTATGATCGAGGACTACCCTTACGTAGTCTCCATACAAAAGGCGGGCGAGCACTGGTGCGCCGGCGCGCTGCTCAACCCCCGCCTCGTTATCACCACCGCCAACTGCGTTTGGAAGTGAGTCTCAACCCTATTCTTCTGATGGCTGAGAACGTATTTTACATATACTTCTGCGTTTAACATATAGTATTTAACATATGCATATACAGTTAGAAATCCTTGTTAGAAATCTCTCTGTGCACCTACCTAATTTTCTCTGTACCACCCCAAGGTTGACTGGGAGATAATGCCTTTGGCATTAAATCCGCCTTTGTACTATTTGTGCATAAGGGGTAAATAAATAAAATAAACGTCTGCTAGAAAATATAACAGACCAACTAGTACTCTGTTTCGCAAAGTTTTTCGGCCTTTCGTAATTGGATAGCTTTCACAGAGTTAGATATCAAGCAAATAATAAGGAAATAGATCATAACAATTTGTCGCGATAATTTTCCACTTTTGAAATGATATGCAGATAATTTTTTATAAACAGAGGCCGCAAAATAGTAAGCACTTGCTATGCCACTTTTTGTAGCCAATTTTAATAGCAAAATGAACCATTATAGCGACGTGCAATCAAAGTGAAGACATCTTTAACGTACGTTAACGTACTTCCAACGTAGTCATTGCACAGGACCTCGATTTTACTCCTACCTGAAAAACTGACGGTAAAAATACTGAACATTGTCGTCTCTTTTAACATCATCTCTTTTAACCCTATAATGAATTCCAAACAATGTCGCAATTTAATCGATTAGTACATATAGTACAGACTTGAAGAACTGTCTAACAGTGCCCGATCTAATCTGAGTCATCAGGTCGGAGCGGGTAGCCAGGCTTAGGGTGCGGGCTGGCACGCGTCACAGTGACCGTGGCGGGCAAGTGGCCAGGGTTCAGGAGATGATGCGCCACCCCGGCTGGAGCATTCGCAACATCCCCGACAACGACGTCGCTCTGCTACTCCTGGACAAGAGTATAAGGTGCGCTCGATTATTGTGTCTAACAAATTGACCACGCCAAGCATTGCTTCAAATGCTTAAAGCAATGTACTTAAAAGACGTTGAGATTTTCGTCATTGTGGCAATCAGACGATTCCCATAGCGACGAAAAACTTCGTACTATTTTCTACAAATTTTAATGTTTAACTTGAATACAATGGGACGAGCGGATTCTGGTATTCTGGTCTGGCTTTCTGAGAATTTTCCGTTAATTTGCACCAGTAATAAGACCCCGTATAGCGGCGAGGCCGTCAGCAGAGGCCAAACAATCCGTTGGTGAATGGCAAATCGTCGATAATCGATCTTGTCCAAACTCGCAGAACCAACAAGAGACGTGAGACCGTTGTGTGATGTTCTGACGCATTCATAGTATGTGTTGTTCTCTTTACGCAGATTCTCACACGACGTGCACGCAGTGGACTTGCCCAATCTCGCTATGATGCCCGCCTTCGACGACGCTTGGGTTACCAGTTGGGGTAGCGACAGGGTATGATAGTGTAATATCTGAGATGACGCCATTTCTAGCCATGAAACGGAATCGATCTCATCCCCAAGTAATTATTGTGAGAGAGAAGCCATTGTTTAATACATACTCTGACAACCGATCACATGCTTACTGTAGTCTACAACAGAAAGAAGAATCTTATTAAGCCATATACACTGGGACCGTCTAGAATTCTATTCCAGCATGGTAGTTAAAAATGAACAGTGCGTTTGATTCGATTTAAACTCGCACCAGCAGCACTGCACCACGAAGGGTGCACTTAAACTAATAAGTAAAATAATGAATATTACTATTGCTCACAAGTATGCAGTAAGCGAAGAAAGAGATATTCATTTAACGCATTATCAGCTATTACATTATAGTGTATTATACACGACTAAAGCCCGTTTTCACCATGAACTTTAAGGGACAACTAAAAAAGTTGTAAGTCCTAGTTTCGTTTTTACCACCGCTTAAGTGTCACGCTTTAGGTGATATAAGTGAATATCGCGCAAATAGCTCGCTTTGAATCGCTAAAACAGAGTGAGAACATTGCATCCATATTTAAACAACCAACGGCGTTGACGGAGTCATCTACTGGATGAACATAGCTACATTTACACCGTATGATCAGATCTTCGGTGGTAGGGCCACGCAACAGCGTTCGCTGTTGCACGAATGGGCAGGTCCGTCCGGGTTAGTACCACGACCTCACAGAAGGCCGGCGTGAAGTAGAAGTGTTGCACTTCTGCGTTTCGTCTGGTGAGTGAGGTAGCCGGGGCCCACATTATTAAGAAGTGGCAACGCATCTGCAAACCTACGAGTGTTGCAAATGTCCATGGGCAGACGGTTATCACTTAACACCAGGTGAACCGCCAGCTCGTTTGCCACTTCCTCACATAAAAAAAAATCAGAATGATCTTGTTAATGATCAATTCCAAGAGTTTAACAATCCTTTTGGCAACTCAAATGACATTTGAAAATCCATTTGACAGCTGATTAGTTGATTTCTACGATGATCAGTGTTTCAGAAACCGGGCGTTTTCCTCTCCATATCATCACCATCAATTTGTTCTCAATTTTCCTCGCCTCGCATACAGCGCGACGGTATTTACGATAGAGGGGATCTGTCGCTGCAAGCTTACCAAGGCCGCCTAATGGACCGCCAGAAGTGCAACAACGTAACGGAGCGCTTCGGCGTGTACGTCACGCACAATTTCTTCTGCATGACCCAAGCCGGCAGGAGGTCGCCGTGCACCGTGAGTCCACTGCCATTATACTTCGTCCCAGTCGGCGATTGAAATACTACGTCAAAAACCATAAATGCCGACTTCATCACTTTGTCCTGTACCGTTGTCCCACTCTAGTCGTTATCAGTGCTTGAAATACGATGTCAAAATCGACGAGAACATTGACGGCCCGATTGCCGTGGGGAGTGGTGTCCCTGCGTCTTGCGCAATACGATGTGGGTTCGATCCCCACCACTGGAAAAATATTGTGTGATGAACATCGTGTTTTTCCAGTGTCTGGGTGATTGTATACGTATAATATGAGTTTATTTACAAAAGAAACGTTTGTAGGGCGACGCAGCAGCCTCTGCTGTTGCACGAATGAGCAGGTCCGTCCGGGTAAGTACCACGACCTCACAGAATACCAGCGTAAAGTGGAAGTATGACAAATACTTTCGCGTTTCGTCTGGTGAGTGAGGTAGCCGGAGCCCAATTTTCAAAAGGTTGTCAACGCATCTGTAACGGTGTAGTTGTCCATGAGGGGCAGTATTCACTTACCATCAGGTGAACCGTCTGCTCGTTTGGCAACTTTTAATATAAAAAAATGCCTAAGTACGTTGATCAGTTTTCTAGTACACATAGTACAAGTGTTGCTTGGGACTAGAGAACGTTGTGTAAAAAATGAGTCCGAAAAATATTTAGAAGGAAAAAACCATTGGCGGTCGGTATTACTTCTTGCAATATCAGAAATGCATGATGGTAACACCGGCATTGTTTAACTGAGAGCCGCGCAGTAGACTCGAATGTTGCATGTATAACTTTAAAGAGGTACCATGGTCTCACTGAAGAGAAGTGTATAGTAGTCTCTTTATTCAGTTAAGGCGTTTTTCCTAGCCCTTAGTAATTACCGCCAGTTAACTAAGTTAGACGCGTCCAATGAAATAAGAAGCAGCAAGAAGTTGTATATTTTACGCTTATTTTCAACATATTTTAAAAAATGTTTAAGCATACATAATCAGCAGTGTGCATGAGGTACTAGTGCGGTTAGAAATATGTTGCATTTCGTATTTCGTGACGGTAGCCCTGTTGAAGGTTGACGATGCATTTTTCTAAAATTTTCTTATATGTATATACAGTACTTATGTATATCCAGTTACATTTCTAATTAATAACAGATAAAAATAACAATTTTTAAAACACTACATTGATTAATTTCTTCGTATCCAACAACCTGATTTATTGTTTTTGATAATCATTAAATACTTACTGCTTCTATAATAATCAGTCATAGATAATTATCAAAAAGTTGAAGTTTTTTTTTTTTTTTTGCTTTATTTCCTTGACCCCTTGCAGAGGGACACTGGAGCGCCGGCTGTAAGCGATGGGGTGCTTTGGGGCTTAGCGTCATGGGGAATACGCAAATCGTGAGTATAAATAATATTAAATTTATATCTCTACAACCATGTTAGCTAAGTTTCCGTGTACTCCCTTTAATTCAATAAACTCGAGCAACCACAGTTCAAATCGCGGTGCAGTTGTTAATTGTTTGCAGTTTTAAGTACTGGCTCATTAGGTGCTCAGCGGTGCAGGAAAACATCTTGAGGAAACCTGCATATTTTCGATAATTGTAATAACAAAAAAATATTTCGAAAATATGTGAATTCTGCCAACCCGCAGTGGGGTCGTATGGTGGACTATGCCCTAATAACCCCTGTACTGTAGAAGAGGCTCTTGCTCAGCAGTAGGCCGTTACTTTTCTTACCGTTACCACAATTTACTTACTACTTTTAAATTTGCAAACCAAAGGCATGATTGGTCATGTCTAATTTTAGCTGGGCTAGCTTACCTATCTTTAATTAATCTTTAAAAATTCATAGGCTAAGTCTCACAAAGAGATGAATACTGACCATAGTCGAGTGCTAAAGTACAACCCATGACTCTGAGTGTGTATGGCCAAGTTGCAACTAGATGCTCGTAGCCGAAGGTTGGGAAAGAGTGTGGGTTATAAGTATGTGCCTTGAGAGACCCTGTGGCCTAAAATTGACGATCACTATGCGCTGAACATCACTTTGATATTCCCTTCTCCTATCGATACCTGATATTTTCAGTATAAGCATCACTGTCTTAACTATTCAGTTAAAAGCATTCGCTTGTTATAAAATTCCGCTCATTTCTTAAGCTTTGCTCGTTTTATTAAATATTAATTATATATGTATCCTTGACATTAAGTATATATATTTCCTTTACGTTATGTTTACATATGCTGTACATTTAAACATGTATTGTTCCAGATGCGGTACGGAGCGATTTCCAGCCATGTTTACTTATATCGCAGCGGATTCCATAATGAATTTCATCAAAAACGCAACGCACCTCCTCATGTCCGACGAGAGGTTCTATCCGTACCTAGATCGAGTGCGAGACGTTCAAATAAAGGCTCTGATGGCGAACCGAACCACAGCATAGGGCAACCATGCTAGACAAATTTGTTACAACTCTCAATGACACTGTCGTATTTCGCAGGAGGAAACTATTTGAGTATCATTAGTTTTTTATTGAGCATTATTTTGAACGATTCTAATAAATATCTTTTCGACGATTAATTTCGTATTTCCTAAGTTTAGAGAAAACATTTAACATTTTTCTTATAACAGCGGTTCATTGACCTCCTTGGTAAAATGAAAGACGGCAACTAACTATTAATCAACTGGGATGCACTTTACATCTAGAACAAAATTGCTACTAGGGGATTATACCGAAGGGACATTTCAGCTTACCCAATATGGGACTTTTGCCTTGTGGGAGAACAAGAATCAAAAAACATTGAGTTTGTATAACACTCCACCTGCTGTTGAACCATGCTTATTTAGGTTAGTGATATTAAAAAAAACATCTTAATATTCAAAACGGGATTCAACTTAGGGTTACTCGGAAAATCTTTTAATATGTCTATATTAAATGAAACTATTTTACGGATTTTACAATACTCAGATAAAAATTATTCGATGCTGCGTGGATCCGACTCTGCACCTTCCGGGTCATGCTCCCAGACGCTCTAACCACTAAGCCGTGGATATCCTCACCGTGCGAAAACAGCGACGTTTTATATAATTTGTTTTAAATGTATTTTTAGCAAAGCTTGGCGCCAACTACCATGCATTTCTATACAGCAAGCACGCTCAAATGACACGTTTAAAATGAAAATTAGAAAACTAAAGCAGTCCTGTGAACAGCGAGTTTTTCACCAATCGTAAGTGCAGAGATAAAGCACTAAAAGTAAAAAATAAATTAAAACTCCGTCAGCTGCTCAGTTCTATTCGATAATGTTTTGCAACATTGATTTTTACATACAATAAAACAACCACTTCCGTGTATGAGCATATTTAATATTTTCTTTTTCAAAATTGTAAAACTCACATTTTGAAATTGCAAAATTATAACTAAATTCTCATATCGTTAATAGTAACAATCGCCATTTTGTAATTTTTCTCCATTTTTTGTATTTCTCTCGAACTAATAATAATAATAATCGTAAACCATTTATACATCTCTAATAATAATATATTTTAATGTCTAACAAATTCTTTTTCTCAACGTTCACCATCATTATCGTTAGTTTTTTTCGTTATTCCAACATCAACTTTCACATATGTATCTCTAATTAACTTTTTTTATAATACTCTAAACATACTTTTTACAATTTCACCCATTTACAATGACTACAGCTGATCTTCTATCGCACCGAATGACATTTTAATTTAGCAAACATTGGAATGGAATTAAAATAAAGAAACTAAAGAACCTAACCTTAAAACTTAATATTAAACGAAAATTGTACAAATACTAATGTATCAGCAATTTCACATCTAACGTCTTATTCAATTATAATATTTCAATTCGATTCTTTGGCAATTTTTGTATTCAAAAGTGAATTTACAATTTTTAAACTGGCTTGAAAGCGTTTACACTATTGAGGAAAACTGGAAATATATAAGAACTATTCTTATTGTAATTTATTTGCGGTCTCCCTTCTTTTTGACTGCTGTGAAAGTGTCAAACGTCAAATGACATGGGTCAAACACGCTCACGGCAGTAGAAAAAAAAAAGAGAGCTGTAAAACCAGAAGCAACATAATAAGCGTTTATTTAATGAGAAGTATTATTTATTCGACTATTTCGAAACTTACTAACGAAAATTAGTAATATTATCCTAAGAAAATTAGATGAAAACTGGCCAAACTTTGTACACGAATTAAATAATTTAACGAAATTATTTAAGTTATTCTCAACAACTGAGGTTACAACAATAAGGAAGTGTTGGGGACAACAAAAAATTAGGCCAAAATAGAATAAACCTTTCCTAGATCAAAGTATTAATTTTTTGTATAACGAATAGAACCTTAATTTGTACATTGAAAGCACAAGATAATGCAAATAACCTATGTAAAGTACTTGGCCATAACGGTCTATGGTAACAAATAGATATACACATATATAAAAAACTGTATTTTTATTTGTATTGTACTGAGCAAAGCAGAAACTAGTAAATAAAATAAACAAATAACTGGCAACACTTTGAGCTACATGTGAAAAAAACATGAAATATTTATACTATTTTATAATCTACGTCGCTTGTTATTGCAGTACACTTACATTTTTTTTAAATCTTGATCACAACATACATTTATCAGAGATGAAAAATAAACGAAATATGTATTTTAAAATGTAATTATTTATGGATGGAGCCAATGAACTTCGAAAGAAGAGTTAAAGAAAAATATATTACTCGCGTATAAATACAATTATTACAGCACTAGAAGTATAATACAAATCAACAAATAAATTCGTGCTCCTTACGCCTACAATGCAGCTAACGCTAAACTCTTACACTACAATCACCGTAAAAAGATAATTGTCGTAGATAGAAACATTAAGAAGATGACAAGACATATATCTACATTCGGTCGCCTCTCGAATGATTTTATAATCGCCGCTAAACTATCGCACCAGGCAAGAACTCAATATTTTTTTTAGACCTAACACTACAATCTCCCTGATTTTTTCCTTACACCTAAATATACACAAAAATAATTTTGTACTCTTTTCAACGAGTTTCAATGGCAACACGTATGTAGGTTTATACAACAATATGGCAGCTTTGTACGATCGCTGTAATATTTATAGATCTTTTATTTATATAAACTCGTAATACTAAGTTCTAAGGATTCAAAAAGTGGCGAAATAACGAAATACATATATCCATTAATAGGTACAGATTAAAAATTGCAGCACAGATCGTTAGCTTAACAAGCAGTATTACCATTAACATGTATACAATGACACCAACATTGTTTTTGCTATTCCTATATCTTTGTGAACAGACCTGTAACAGGCCGCGAAAGAATCTTATTTAATATATCTTATTAAGATTGAAAATTTATTTAAGTTATTACATAAGTAAACTCTCAATTGAAGTATTCTCTTTAATATAACGGAATTATTTGTTTAAATTTATAAATGCCATAATAGTATTACTTATATTGAATTATCCATCAATCGTACACAGATAATTTATGATGATCGTTAATCTCATAACAAACAATAAAATTCAAATTGGGAATGATGATTATTACAATTCCTAAACGTGCCAATGACAGCGATGCGCCCTCGGAAAATAAAACAGACTGGCACTAAACGCCAGTCTTACAGTTTCAAAACCTTGAAGTGTTTTGCACTTAACAGTGGCGGAAGGGAGACGACCACTTAAATCTGCTTTGTGACGCAAAAACGGTCAGATTGAAGTGCAGCATGGGATCGAGCGGGGGAATAACCTATCGTCTCCTCGGGATATTCGTTTAAAAGTATGCGAACTTGGTATTCGGTGGTAGTCGGTTAGAAGATACGATGTCCACTTCGGTTAGAAATAACCGAACTTGGCTCGTTTAGAAGTATCCGAATTTGGCTCGATTAAAAATATCCGAACTTGGCATTAGATTAGATGACTCCGAGCTTGGCATTCGGTTAGAACTATCCAAACTTGGCATTAGGTTAAGAGTATTCAAACTTGGTATTCAGTTAGCGTTACCCGAACTTGGCATTCGATTAGATCTATCCGAATATGATATTCGGTTAAGTATCCGAACTTAGCTCGCTTACAAGTATCCGAATTAGAAATATCCGAACTTGGCTCGTTTAGAAGTATCCAAACATGGCATCCGAACTCGGCTCGTTTAGGAATATGCGAAGTCGGCTCGTTTAGAAGTGTCCGAACTCGGCATTACGCTAACAGTATCCGAGCTCGGCGACCGTTTAGAAGCATCCGAGGTCGGGGCCGTCCGAACTCGGCGTTACGCTAAAAGTATCCGAACTCGGCTCGTTTAGGAATATCCGAACTTGGCTCGTTTAGAAGTGTCCGAACTCGGCATTACGCCAACAGAATCCGAGCTCGGCGACCGGAAGTATCCGAGGCCTGGGCTCTACGGCTGGTTGAGGAGCAGCGCCTCCAGCTCGTCGGCGGAGCGCAGCAGGAAGGCGGCCGACTCGCGGTAGCCGGTGATCAGCTGACGCACCGCGCCCACCTCCGCGCCCGACAGCTTGTGCGAGAGGAGGGGCGCCTTCGCCGAGCCCGCCCCGCCCCCCAGCCCGCCCCCGCCGCCGCCGTGGTGCGTCGACCCCTTCACGGACAGATCTGTCGGAGCTGTATCCACGAGTCGGTTAGCGCGTTGTTATCGCGATTCTGTTGTCACGGTGGTAGGGTCCCGCCGCAGCCTCGGCTGTTGCACGAATGGGAAAGCTTGTCGGGGTAAGTACCACGACCTCACAGAAGACCGGCGTGAAGTGGAAGTAAAATACTGTCGCGTTTCGTCTGGTGAGTGAGGTGGCCGGAGCCCAATTTTTGAAAGGCCGTCCAACGCATCTGGAACCCTCGGGTGTAGCAGATATCCATGGGCGGTATTCACTTAGCATCAGGTGAACGAGCGTCTGCTCGCTTGGCAACTTTCACATAAAAAAACGCATCGGGACGTTGTGGGACATTTGGATAATATTGTAAATTTTAAGTAACCCCTGGCACAAAATATAATAATAGCTAAGAACTATCTCGATCGCGTCTGCTTTCAAACAAAAGAAGCCCCATTGAGATCGGTCCATGCGTTTAGAGACTACGATGCCACAGACAGGCACGTCAAACTTGTAACACCCATCTTTTTACGTCGGACGCATTTTTAGAAGCAAAATATCGAGGACGTTAGTAATAGGAAGTTTGCCAACCTAACCACTCACCCGAGAGGCTCGGGAATGTGTGCGTGTGCGCCGCCATTGCGGACAACAGCGCGCTTTGGTACGCGGCCATTGCTGCGTTCATGCCCACGCCTGCGGAATATTTACAAATATCATATAAAAACCTTTACTCCTATCGATTTCTTGTTTCATTTACTTTATTGAATACTATGAATGGTTGAATGAAACTATTATCAAGTTTATCGATAAAGTCATTTATATTTCAAATGATATTATAAAAGGGTCAGTCCCGTGACCAGAAAGTGTTCGAAATGTTGGGAATTGTAATACCTAATTAAACGAGATAAAGTCCGTAAAATAGTTTCATTTCACCTTTACACCGTTGACCACATGATGTGAGGCCTTATATATATAGCAAAAATGATATCTAGGAAAAACACTTCACAACTACGATTATATTATACCGGCGAAAACTTTTGCAGCTTCTCTTATTCCAATAAAATGATCGGTGTAAAACGATATTTTAATTTTTTGTGTGGTGTACGGTAAGCAATAGATGCGTCATGATTTTCGTCGGTGGCAATCAGCCGTTTAGCTTAGTGAGTGAAGCGTCTCGGCGCGAATCCGTAAGACGGTTCGATTACCGTAGCGACGAAAACTTACCTAACATTTTTTTCTATCTACAAACTAACTATATTTACCTTTTTCTCTTTTAATTTTAACTGTTCTTAGTTTAAAATTAGTTGGCAGTATATATATTTATGTTTTTCTCTTTTCTTTTTAACTGTCATTAGTATAAAAGTAGTTGGCAGTAAACATATTTATTGATGAGGATTTTTACTACGGATACTTTCAAAACATCTATAATTACCTGTAGGTGGAAGCGACGATAAAGTGGAAAGCAGGGCGCTGCTCGAAAGCGCTGAAGCGCTGCTGGTGCTTGAACTGAAAATGAAATTAATTTGTTACAACTTTTCAAAACAACTAAAAGTTATTTAGTGCCGGCCCAATGGGAATTTTATAACCTTTTTTCCCTTCAAATGTTTTTATTCCATTTAGCGTATTATCGGTTGCCTTCATATTCGGTATGAATGGAAATATGAAGTTTTCAAGTATAAAAAACCTTAGTGTAATCTTGTGTAATTTTTAACGCTTCAAAACGATTTTAGTCTAGATTTTAGATTTGAGTTGGGCATTTTAAGTCTATTTTTGGCAGATTTTTATTAAATAATATTGAAGATTCGAACTTACCTTTGCCTCCCAAATGTCTGCGGTGTGCCGAAAGTGTTCGGGAATGACGGTCTGAACAATGGCGCCGGCGATGAAGCGGGGCTGTGAATAGAACATACATTTCAATTCAATAAACCTTTATTTAATACATATAAAGATGATGATGATAACTACTATCGCATGTATCCGATACATCATTTGCTTATATATTTTAGAAATCTGCTTATCGACAATATTACTTTGTACTATTTTAGAACGATATTCCTTATCTCACGTTATTGTGGTGGTTTGTTTGGGGGTTAAGGGGCTAGACAGAAAAAAGTGTAACAATAAGAAACGCTTCGATTATATACTTATCACGTACCTATATTATATAGAAAGAAAAAACGATGTGAGGCACTTTCAGATTTTAAATTGAAACTTTATTATTCAATCATAAATTCAAACACAAAAAAGATATAAACTCCGTTGGGTGGTTGCAACCGGGTTGTCCATAAGACACCTGTGTTTAATTAAGGTTTTTCAGTCTCAAACCTAACCTAAACAAAAAGAGATATGTGACTTTTTATGACTGCTCAGTAAAATACTGTTATTTCCTTTGCTAAATAGCAACGACAAGAAGTATTAACAAATACGTAATTATTGATGTTGTGTGATCGAAAACATTTAACTGTCAAATTCAAATTCAAATGTCTTTAATCAATATAAAAGTATTACACTTATTTATTGATTGTACCTACTACTTTTTGACACTATACTGACCAGGTAACTCTATGGCATTGAGCAAACTATTTGAAAAGTTTAAGGTCATTAAAGGTCAACCAACCTGGCTGTCTTGCTGCCAGTGTTGCCATTGGCGTTGTCGATCTTCAGACTGTTGTTGTTGAGCAGCGCGTTCTCCATGGAGGGGCTGCTCGTCGGGCGAGTGGTGTCGGCGGCCGCCTTGCTGTGGCCGGCGCTGGCGAGCGACGTGGCAGTGGCAGAACTGGCGGTGGTGGAGGTGCTCATGGCGCCGCTGTACAGGCTTAGGAACGACGAGGCCACGGCCGATGTGGCGGTCGTGTCGATTGCCTGTGAAGTTTTAATTTTGTTAGCGTTAAGATAGAAGTTTCGAAAATCGACTCGGTTGACGTAATGGATAGTGAACATGTATCTTGTGGCAGAGAGTGTGAGAAAATGTGTGAACAACATAGTATATTTGACTCTAGTGTCTAAGTGCTTATTTATCTATATAATGTATTTATTTACAAAAGTATGTTTCTTAGTTACCTAGTACCCATAGTATAAGTAAGCTATGCTGAGTTTAGGAATGAATAAGATTGTGTAAAAAAAAAGCTTTAGTAGTTACACGAAAATTATCATTTCCTTAAATTTTCATGAATGAGCTTTATAACTTAAATTATTATATTGATTGAATAGTCGTGGACCAAACACATTCCCTTGAGGTACACTCATCTCATATCCTTAAATCATGCTTAATTTAGCTATCAGTATTTTGTTTTTAAATAAATTATGGTGGGAAAACAATGAACCGAGACTTTCTTTAATCTAATTAACATAGCCTTCATTACAATTCCATTAAGTCATCGTACATTTGACTATTGCAAGTTAAATTTAAGCGATTACAACGTGTGTACCGAGATCACTCCCTTGAGGCACACCCGCACTTTTACACTACTGACCATGGGCGTGGGCAGAGTGGGCATCGGCTGGCTGACCGGGTCGAGGCCGAGCCGCATGCGCTTCGCATTCAGGCTCTCGTTCTCGCAAGCCTGCGCCAGGATGTGCTCCGCTTGCACCGACGTCAGGTGCGCCGGCGTTGGTCGAACCTAGAACAATAGAGCACGATATAGACACAGATCCTCCGAGATTCATTCGTAACGCTATCTAACCATTTATAGGGTTACAAAAAAAAACATTACAAAAGATACTTCTTAACTCATGCGTTAAACTTTATGATAAAGCGTTAATACGGTATGTCTTCTGATTTTGACTCGATTTGTTACAAATGTTGCGTGTTATTTTGCATATATTAATAACAGTAGATAATTAATCAAATTCCGATAAATAGACTCTACTTATGGTCATGAATTTTAGCACAAATTAAAGCACACTTCGGAACCACGTCGACATCGTGAGTACGTGAGTTAGAGATGGGTTGGAATGCTTAAATGTTAGGAAAAGAAATAAATCATTTTTCGGACCCTCACCGCGGTATCCCAAGCGCTACTAGACGGCGTGCTGCCACCGTTTCCGCTGATGGGGCCGTCGCCACGCACTTTCTTATTCCTCCTGCAACTCTTCAGGTACGTTCTGATCCTCTTTCGGGCGCGCTCGGCAAACTCCGGGAACTGTCGCGTGCACGAGTCTATGATCGCTTGGATCTTCTCTTTCGGCTGTTTGGATATGGGCACTATCCTGTCTAGGTTCTCGTCTACGAACAATCGGACGAACATCTGCAAAGATACACAGGCGTATTTCGTTTTGTTTCACAGTTCACGTTCGCGTGCGTCGATTATTTAAACTATTAGATAGCGGCCCGTAAAGAATTTACTGTTCTTTCGAATAACACAACCTATAATTTATTGGAGGGAGACGTTGTTTGATTTAAGTTTGTATTCTGACTTCACTCATTTGAGTGTTCTCAACGTATAATCGTATTGGAAACTTTACGTATCAGTGAAGATTGAAATCAAAGCATCAGAATGGAGATTCAGTGTTGAGATATTCCAAGAAATGTTAATTGAATCTTATACCAATTAACTATGACAAACTAGCAGTTTCAGCACCAACAAAGCGGTCAGCAAAATTTGAGAAAATGCAAAGCTAAATGCAACGAGCGGTATTGCATTAAGAAATGTTCCTATATACACAGCATAGTAGACGCAGTAGAAGTAGGGAGTTAAGGGGTTTACGGACCCAAGAACTCGCGACCGGACCAGAGGACAATAGACTGTGGCATAATTACGTTGAAGGCCTTCAGCCGCTCCGGGTCGTGGTGCTGAGGGTCCACGCGGTCGTCACTGTCGTCGTCTGAAGCGCCGGCATCGTCCTCATCCTTGGTGCGATCTGACGAGGAGGTCTCGTCGTGGGCAGACGCTGGCTCCAGGCCCGGCGTCGCCGAGCCGACGTGTATCGGACTCTGGGATATCCGGGCCACTCGTTAATTCAACGCGTCCAAGTTTGCTACAAGCCCCGGGATTCCACTCTCGTAGGGTAGAGTCCAGGGCACCTATGATGATCCTAACACCACCGCATAAGCTATGGCCTTTGCGCTATTTGACTAGACGTAATAGCTTACCGCCATTTAATACTTTCTCGAGTCTTATGATGATGATGATTGTTGTCTGCTGGTGATTTTCATCGAGTTCCTTAGAGAGTTCTTAAGAACTTATTTTCACTCTAACTATCGTACGCCCATTCCTCGGCTAGATTGGGACATTGGAAAATTTCGTTTAGTCGTGGTTCCGAAAGTGTGATTTATACTTTATCGTGTCTCATATTGATGAAAGCCTGTTTAGTGATCTCGAATAGAAGTTTTTAGGATTTCTGTCGAAACTAGTAAGGTACATCTGTAACGAATATATGCAGAAACACGAACCATTCATAACTGATTAGGCGACCGAACAACTTATAATGTTGTGAGCGTTATCGAATAAGGTTGGCGTAGTCGTAAAAGCTAAATCGTTAATACCGTTGTAATCGTTAATACTGAAAACTCGCTAATGAATGAGATAAAAATACTAGAAGTTATAAGTATTTTAAATGTATTTGAAAAACGAAGATACAATTGCATTTGAAGACTGGATTGATCTGAAGACCTAACTTGATGAATAAATTTCCTGCTCTTTTGGAAATGTTCCACGGCTATGATAATAGTAATTACCGTAACGATTGTCCAAAGTTATGTTTTGATTAATCTCTACTAAAGTGTATATAATAGTGCTCGGCAACATTAGAATCTATGAAATGTGCAATTTTCGATAATAATCTCATTACTATGACGCAAAATATACCATATAATATTACTAACTAATAAAATATTATGATTATTTGAACAAAATGATCATAAACTATTTTGATCATTTTAATAGAAAGCTAGGAGATATTTTATAAGTGTGTTTATTTATTTCATTTTTGATTTTTTTTATTTCTGATTAAAGCGTTTTGCTACTAATATTACCAGGCAAACATAACTACTAATATTACGCAGAAAGTACATCGATTATTTCAACTGGATTCAGCCGTCGGTCTATTATATACTCCGAAACGCAAAAACGACTTCGGACCACCGTTAACACAAGAACAGAACTAATTTATGCCGTATCTTCATAACAGGATCCGTTTAATTTATGTGCAGATGCTGTGGGCTCGGTAAGTCTAGAATTGGTATTGCTGCAACAATGTACGCAGTGGCGTACCGTTGCATTTCGCCCTTTGTAAAAATTCCCCTGGCAAAAAATCGATGCATTTAACGCGGAATGCATTCGCAATTCAGTTTAAAACAGTATTAATATGTGAATTTATTTATCTAAGATGGATATACGCGATCTTTCTAATCTTTATTCGTACAGAATCCTGATGCGAAACAACGCGATCCTGATTAGGAATTGCTTATTAGATGGAATGTATTTGAAACTCACTCAACCTTGAAACTCACCGAGTGGCCAGTGGCCAAAGGTGTGGGCGGCTTCGGCGGCTTGCTGCCGAGGCCGAGAGCGCTGTGATAGGACGCCCAGAGGTCCGCCATGCTGTCAGCGCCACTCTCTGTGATGTCACCATTGCGGCCTGCAAACACCAGGAGAACATCACTAAACAGTATAAAACAAAGCCGTCCCGCTTTCCGTCTGTCCCTATGTATGCTTAGATCTTTAAAAGTACGCAACGGATCTTGATGAGGTTTTTTCATATAATAGAGTGATTCAAGATTCAAGAGGAAGGTTTATATGTATAATTCATTGCACTCGTTCGAAGCCGGGGCTGGTCGTTAGTAAGTCGATAAGAATGAAAATAACCTCACATCAACACTAATGGTACCTTTTACATCGCTCGACAACTCCCAAACGTCAGTCATTTTATGGCGAAAGTTTTATGGAGTATTTTGAACCCAAAACGCGACAATCAGGCACTCGAGCAAACCGACAGATGCCATTGGGATTCGAACCTTAATCTTAAGGAATCCGTCTCGGCAGCTAAGTATTTGCCTAAGTCCTTTGCAGAAAACTTCAATGCACAGGGGTGAAGCCGGCCAGTGTTACAGCTGCTACTAAAACAGGTTTGCTTAGTTGTGGGAAACGCTATTATAACCCGTCCGGTTTTTAAGAATATTTGAATCGTTTGCCAACCAGTGTTGACTCTCGTACACCTTAGTTTTTTCGGGCTTTGTATACAATAGTCTTACTGTTTGGGAAATATCGCGCAGTAGTTATAATCTGTCAATTCCCTTCCCGTTCCTTCCAAAGAAAAAGGTTTGAATGTAACCCCAAGTATTTAATAGAGATTTTGAATACAACAATCTAGTACGTGTTAATTTATTGATGGAATTTCTTCCCCTTTTATAATTAATTGTCGACAGTAAACTGACTTCAAAAGAAACTTTGAAAGCCGCGAACATCGTGATTAGCGTAAATAAAGTTAAATGTCACTATTTCCCCCAAGTGCTATTGTTACGTACATTGATTATGCGACGGTTATTAATTACCGATGCATTTGCACTATCAAAGATAACCTAATCTTCATTAGAACTGATTATAACTAATATTAAAATATAAGATCACTTGGAGAAAAGAAATTTTCACGCACAGACGATTTAATTTAAGAAGTCACTATCGCAATATCTTACGAAAACGAATCATTACAACATATTATTAACAAAATCCGTTGCGCTAATTACGGTGACTTCAAAAGAGATAACATAGAAATGTCTCCAAAACGATAATGTCTTTATGAAATAATTTTATAGCAGTCTTGTATTATCAAATTATATGTACTACTCATAATATATGTGTGTATATAACTAAGTAAAACTATAGGAAGCTAAAAATGTCTTTAATAGGACTAATAATTGATGGAAATAAGAAAATACATTAAGAGCATAAAGGATACAGTTAGGGTGATGAAAGATAACGAAGCTGAAACGAGGCCTTTTATCCGTTCTACAATAAACTAATAAACGAAAGGTTTAACATTAAAATAACTAAACTTATCGATATCTACATTCGTAAGTTTGAAATGTGTTGCCAGCATAGAATTAAAGTAGAGCAAGGGAAAAATTTATTGTGGGTCAGAAAATTTATAAAAATATATGCGGTTTACAGTTTTGTTTACAGTCTTATTCATTAACTAATGACATTTAAGTAATAGTGTTAAATTTGGTCATATTTTAAGGTTATGTTAATTTTTACTTATTCATGTTAGATTAGCATTGTTCGCTTTAACAATGCGGTATTCAGGTATCATAGAACAATTAAAGTTTGATAATATCAAACGCAAAAGTCTGATAAATAAGACAGTTTACAAACGCATAAACAAAGGATATCGGGGGGTTATTGTAGAGACGTACATGCGTTCATTATTTTTTAAAGTTCCAGTAGAAAGACTCCAAACAAGAATAGAAACAGAATTTTGAAAAAATAGAACGTTTGAATTGTAAAGTAATTAAATTGGAACCGTTATCCCGAAACTTGTTTCCTCAAGCCGCTGCCGCATTTTCTGCGGAACCGCAACAGACAACGACAATCCATAATCGACTTGAATATTTAGTATTCATAGTCAGTTACCAAGGCGGCAGAAATTAATGAGGGTGTGCAGGAGGCGTTCGCAGGGGACCGGTGCATCTGCCTCTAAATGTCAACCCGAACAAGCCCCTCGCTATAAATAATTTGAGGTTCCAGCCTTGTAACGCCTGCGCCCCTGGTACCCCCGCTTTCTCGATATGGCTTCGGTGAGGTAGTAAAAATAGCGCGCATAGTCTCCCCGCCATGGAAATTATGCAAGCCCCGTCGCCTGACAAACTGCTGGTTCGGCAAGAAAATTGCACAGACGTTTCGGAGTCGGTTTTTTACGTAATGCGGGCCGCTTGAAAATGGCAATATTCAATTATGTTCAAAGGTATTTTAAAGCTTGTGAATATTGAACAAAACAACCCGTAATTGTCTATAAGAGTTTAAGTAAAAACAGACAGACAAGATAGCTGTCAAACTTATTTCAATAGGTAATAAAGAGGAACCCAGTTTAATAGGTAAGGAACACCCACAACGTATATTAATCATACAAATTCAGTTTACCTTGACTCTGGCTGTGATAATTCCATGCCAGCAACATCATTTTCAACTTCTCAGCGTCTTTCGCGAAGGCCTGACCTGCACCAGATCATATTCGCCAATCAATTTTTGAAATTTGGAATACGAAATAATATGACTCGACAAAACTTTGGAGCCGGATATGTTGACGGTATTTTATGCAAGCAATTTACGACGCAGGAGGAATATTTAAATTTTGACCACATAAAATACCCAATTGATTTGATGCAAGTACTGACACATGCTGACATGATACATTCTGAAATCGGTAATACCATAAAGATACTCACCAGAAAAGTTATCATCGTCAGCCATGTCCGTAGGCTCTGGCGTCATGTTGTCCTGAAACAAATGAATAGTTTTAATACTGCGCGTTTAATTCCACAGTACCTGGAGGAGTCCTTTTTGGTAAATCGTGTATTTTGGAAATAAAAAAATAAAAAACAAAAAAAGAAATGATCTGGTATAGAAAAAAAGTAAAAAAAATAAGTTTGTAAATGATTGTGACACGAACGGCGGCCTTCTGCAGCCTTCTGTTTCGGGGCCGCCCGATTACCGACCGAGCTATTATAACATTTTACCGTAATATTCTAATTATATTTTCATTCCCTGAAAACAGGGATAAAAGGATATTTTCTAAAAATTAAACCTAGCTAGATCGATTTAATGGTCACTAAGTATTAGCGTTATATATTCGACCTCCTCTCTGGGATAAAGTTCGCACCATTTAAAAAGCTCGCAACCCCTAATGAATAAGTATGTTCATATTCAGCGGTGTTTATCCCTTTAGATACCAGGGAACCATATAACGATGATATTAAATAATTAATAAATTAGCGATACGGCAGCCGGCAGCGGGAGGTTCGGGTCATCGCACCGGTTCGCGGACAGTAATCGATAGTGCTTCAAATGGACATGCCAATATATATATACATATATACACCGTTTCATACATGATCCCCTGGTATCCGAAACAAAGTCTATTACTATAGCAGAAAACAAACAATGTGTTTATGTTCCAAAAAGACACTTAAAATGCACTCGTAAACAAATCGTTTGCAAGCAACATTGACGTAATTATCTTGATACAAGCAAAACTTTCCGCTTACGTCGAAAACTGCGACGCGAGTTATGGAAATCGCTGAAAAGGCGTTCTAGTCTCGCCCGTCGACTTTACGAAAACAAAGATTTCTGTTCAACAAGTGGTCGCTTTGTGAGCGTTGAAATTTTTATGACACTCGATTAGATTTGACACAATTTAATTTTATATAAATGATAATTTCTTTCCGTTTCACTAATTTGCTAACTATGGTCTCAATTTGACCCTATTAAGTATTGCGTTGACTACAGCGATGATGATGATGATATTTTGAGATATAGGACAAATAAGGTCTCGTTATTAACTGCACTGGCTAAATTTCACTTACTGTTTCCTCAAGTGTTTTAAGGGATAGCGTGCCCTGTGCTCGCTCTGTGTTCATTTTGTAATTGATTTTCAGGAGTTCTAAGTGTCTCCGGAGCCCAAGATCCAATACCAATGAAATTAATATGGGACCAAAAAGGAAACACCAGCTCTCAAATAAAAAAAGTATCATTAAAATCGGTTCACTCAATTGAAAGTACTGAGGTAACAAACATAAAAAATACAGTCGAATTGGGAACCTCCTCCATTTTTGGAGTCGGTTGAAAGTAAACAAACATACATGCAAATTAACATCAATATGTTTGCGCACTGCGTGTGTAGTATGTTACGTGGCTGACATCTCCCAATTAGTAGTTGCTTAGTGTCTGGCTCGTCGACTCGTGATTTGAGATTGTCCTTCGAATCCCTAAAGTATGCACCAATAAGACACCGCTAAGCAGATTAATAATTCAAACACACAAAGGGGTAGGCAGTGATTACAAATTTTCACTTTCCACGATTTAAAAATTTGCCATTGTTAAAAGCCTAACTTGGCTGCGTCTTTATGTGAAACGTCAGCTTGGCAGTATTTATAGGTAACGAGTTCAACTTCTTTCAATGTTTTTGTAAGACTAAGTTATGTTTAAGAAGTAAGAAGAAGAATTAAAAAATCGGTTTATAGTAAACTATAGTTTCAAGTATTTCATCAATGAAGAACTTTAATTGTATTCGTTATGAAAAGAAAATATTTGACCTACATTATTGTTAAGTCGAACTACGATAGTGCACAATGCTTGATTGAACAATATGGAGTAATTTCTAAATGTAACAAGCACCAAAGTACAGTACAAAACATCACGAATCGCAATGAATTCATTTCTTTGAACACTTCTTCACCTTTAATTTTGTTTAATATATTTAAAATAATAACATTAGTAATATTTTGTGTCGATAAAAGAAAACTTTTGTCTTCGTAAACGTTTTACTTTAAGTAGCTCAATTGTTTTCGCAATAATGTTTGTATGTTATTAATTATTATTATATACGTTACGATATTTGTGTGCGGCTTCTGTAAAACAACTTTGCTTGTTTGAATAACGAGGGGGTAATGTAAGGTCTATAAAACTATTTTCAATCTTAACAAACATTTAACATTAATGCGATACTAATGATGCGATGATGATAGAACTTGGTTCCTAACAAAGTTCTATTTTGGTCCAAATTATTACGGACCGCGGTTTTTCACAACAAAACGTATCATAACTTTAAGAATGCGGAGCAACACAATATAAATAGCAAAGACAACGAAAGAACACGTGGGAAATACTCAAAATTGTGAGACAATACAGTGACAATTACGATATTTTAAGAACTTTACTGTTAATTCGATAATAAAATATGAAAAAAGTAAAAATCTAACTAAATAAAATATATAGGTAGTGATTTATTGTATATACAGGAATAAACACATTATTGTAAAAACTATTTTAATGGATTTTATTGCATAGAATGTTGAAATTTTTTTAGCAATCATCAAGCATCAAGCAATCCAGAAGTTAATATAATTTACGAGTTCAACGCGATAAAACCTGTGTAATAGTTTATTTTCATCAAAAGAATAAACAAAGAAACTGTGCGTTTTCATTTGATACACGTTTCAAGTACCAGGGCGCGTGAAGTGAATTCACCAAGCCGAGTGGGCGCTTTAACAATTGCGTGAACTTTGCTAAGTGTCTAACTGCCAGGTGCACATAGATAGTTAGGAGTTAGGTGGGGTGACACGGGCCTGATATCGACCGTCTTGGCGGGCGGTGGCCAAGGACCGCATCTGCTATGCGGACACTAAATATCCGTTGACCCTTCCCGCTTATGTACGCCCAGTGGCGTATGTTGGGCCATTGCAATTTACCCGGTAATTAATTACACCTCAATGACAGATAAGGCGCACTGGTGCGTACACGGCATGTACTTGCACACATGCGTGATTTTGTGATGGTAATTAGTTCCTGTCAATGTCTAGATAGATAGGAGACGGTGTCCGTTTAGCTGACATCGCTCCTTAGGATGGCAACATTTGTACATTTCATTTTTAGATTGAGCAACTAATGATGACACGATAAGGTTTAGCAAAACGTATTAAATGGACGTAGTGTCAAACATTGTATATTTTTTTTTATTTTATACTTTGTAAATGTGTTGCAGTTTGTCATATGAGTGTCTTTGTCTGAATACGCATTTACGCCATTTACTGTTGAAACTTAAGGTCCGGGGGTCCCAATACGTCGTCTTTGAAAGGTTTACCTCCTAGGCTTATCGGCGCGATGACAAGAGGGCTGGTACTTTTCTAGCTCAAAGTTTAAGCTTAACTATTCAGCGAGGAAATGCAGCTAGCGTTCTTGGCACCATGTCGCGTGGACTAGGTGTATTAGATAATATGTAATTTTGTCACATTAAGCCCGGTTTCTGAAACAGTGATTATAGTAGAAGTTAACTAAAGTAAAGTAACAGCCTATACATGTCCCACTGCTGGGCAAAGGCCTCCTCTATACAGGGGGTATCAGGGCATAGTCCACCACGCGGCCCCACTGCGGATTGGCGGACTTCACATATTTTAGAAATATATATTTTTTTTGTTATTATTTCGAAAATATGCAGGTTTCCTCACGATGTTTTCCTTCACCGCGGAGTACGTGATAAGTCAGCACTTAAAGTTAAAAACTTCATTGGTGCCGGCACCGTGGATCGAACTCAGGTTGCTCGAGTATATTGAATTAAAGGCGAGCGTCCGGACACTGAGCTATCACGGCTCTTAACGGATGTTAACTAATCAGCTGTCAAATGGCTTTTCAAATGTAAGTTAAGTTGCCAAAATTATGTTTAAACTCTCTGAATTGATCAGAATGATTTTCTTAATGGCCAGAATGATAAATTCAGAGAGTTTGACCATCCCTTTGGCAACTTAAATAACATTTTGAGAGCTGATTACTTAATTTCTACGATGATCAGTGTTTCAGAAATAGGGCGTAAATATCATAAATATTGGATATTATAAGTTGTGTAAACTACTCTATTTTTCATTGTCAAGTAGTTTTAAGCGTCGAACTATGAGAAATATTCACTTCAAGAAAGAATCGTAGTGTTTATAAAGTGTTTTTTTTAATCGATCCCTCGTCAACGGCTTTATCGATTTCCCTTCATTAAATTACAGGCTCTGCACATCCGAAGGTTAGACAGTTGTCTTGACAAAGTCTAATCAACGAGCCTATAGTGTTTAACGATGAGAAATACTGCTTTTCAACAACACAACGGGACGTCTAAATGCAAGATTTGATTAGCTCCCATAGTATCAAATGTTATGGTAAACTTATAAGTATCGTATAAAAATAAAAGAAATACTTCCATCGGTGTTCTTCAACCGTTGTTGTAATGCATTTAAGTACGGAAAATCTACAAAAATATCCAATTTTCCACCGACCTCGAAAAGGTGGAGGTTTTTGGTTTGTATTTTTTATTTTCGTTACCACATGGCAACTGATCCGAACCCAATGGCATGCGGTACACCAGGCATATCCAAATAGGAAATGTGAGTGAGATATAAAATATCCGGTTATAATAGTCGATTTTGTTTTTTGTTAATAAAATACTTGTTTTACTTGTATTCACTTGAATGTATAGCTATTAGTTTTGTCCTAATAACAACATATTCTATATGCAGACAAACAACAGTGAACAGATCTGTTCACGTAGTCTGGTGCTTCAACCATCCGACCACAAAGTAGTTTTCCCCAATAACCGAGTTATTTTGAGGTTTAATACATTGAAGTCTAGTGTATATTGGTAGAAACATGACGGTGGCTAATAACGTTGTGATGATAATTTGTGTATGCGTTAGCTCCGCTACCCGTGTAAAGCCGGGGCGTATGGCTAGTGCGTTATAAAT